TCATCACCCATGTCTCTCATCCATAACATACTGTTGGTCTGATAATAGTCTTGTAGTCCCTGATTTTTGATCTCCAGTGTGTATTTTTGGACACGCATGGGCGAGTGAAAAGTAAGCTTTGTTTCTCCTTACTATTCTTCTTTGAATTTCTGATTCTTCTCTTCCATCCGTGTTTACTGTAACTTCCAGGTATGTAAAACTTTCTACAGTGTCAATATCGTCCTCTAATTTAACTGTCTAGCTCTTGCTTGTGTTAGTTTTTGGTCTTTTGAATATTTATTTTTAGTCCGTTCTCTTCTGCCCCTGTTTTTAATTGTGAATATATTTCTGCCACCTCTTCTGTTCTGCTAGACCTGATGCTAATGTCATCGGCATAGGCAGCAATCTGTATCGATTTACTTGTTAGGAGGTTACCTCTTCCTATATTGAACTATCTTATCACATATTCAAGAGTCAGGTTGAATCGTTTCGGTGCCAGCCCGTCTCCTTGTTTGAATCTTTTGCCTATTGAAATGTCCTCAGTAAGCCAATTTTGTACTCCGACATTTGCTGTCGACGAGTATTTTGTTGCATTTACTAGTCGGATGTAGTTTTGGGGCATATTAAAGCTATGCAATATTTGAAATAACTTTTGTCTATTAATTGAGTGTTAGAAATCTAGAGATTTGTCAGTTAAATATATCTAAGTATTAGTGGTATCTCTTATTAAGGCAGTCTTAAGTCTGCTGTTGCTTCATTGTCACGATTTACTTAATTAATTCGGTCTAAAAAAAATTATTTTAAAATTTAGATGACAAACTTTCATAATATGTTTGTTTTATTTTTATTTCCTTCATATGCTAAATAGCGACTAATACCGGGTAAAAAGAAGTTAATGGCGTTGACCGTCTTTACATCATTTCAATCATTTACTCATGGACAAAATTATGGAATATTTTAGAATTATCAAATTTTTGTTTTTTGAAAATAAATTTTGGTAAAACAAATTTTTTTTTATTTTTATTGGCTTTGGCGTGAAAGCTTTAGCCACGTAATTACATATAAATATTAGTATTCATTCATACATGATTGCACAAGGAGGACACGTTTCACGCTCAGGGATTCATCATCAGAGCAACTTTATTGTAACAAACAAGACGTAAACCACGGTTAGGTAGGTGGGCAACATATATGGTAAACATACAAAGGAAATGTTCAAGCATACGATCAATTTTACACTCATGCCTTTAATTTAATTTTTACAAGAAATATCATAATTATTTTAAAGATTTTTATATTGTCTTCACTTAATAGGAGATTTACGTTTAATGGTGTACTTAATCCCTCTTTTATCAATTCTTTTATCAGCCACGTGCTTGTATTACGATGTAGTGGGCAGTTGAAGAATATGTGATTTAAATCAGCTATACTAGTTTCACATTCACATCGGTCTGTTGGGAGAACTCCTATTTTGTGTAGATGTTTCGGAAAACATCCATGATCTACTTTTAATCTTAAGACAGTTGACACTGTGTTTCTGCTTAGTGTAACATCTTTGTAAAATTGTTTTACATCTACTGTGGGTTGTAATTTGTATAAATTAGTGCCCCTGCTTTCACTAAACTGAATCCATTGTCTGTCCCATTTAAATTTAATATGTTGTTTGATATAGGAAAGTAGGTCACATGTGTTAAATTCTTCTATCACCATATGTGGGTGCTGTAATGGATTTTTAGCTATAGAATCAGCAATAGTATTGCCAACAATATCTGAGTGTCCCTTGATCCATAGAAATTTAGTACCATATGAATCTGATAGTTTTAGTAACTGTTGAAAAATTTCTAATATGAATATGTTGCTATTGATTGTGAATTTAAAGTTTTGTAAGGAGTGCAATACTGACAGTGAATCACTGCATATGACAATTTTGTTCCACTGGTTTCCACAGCACAATTCAAGGGCTTTGTATATAGCACACGCTTCAGCAGAAAAAATGCTGGATTGATTATTTAAAATAAATGATTTTTTAATCTTCATTTTTGGTACAAAGTAAGCACTGGTGGTACATGTTGGTGATTTTGACCCGTCTGTATAGATCACAATATGATCTGAATAGCCACTTAAGATTTCTTTAAGAGTAGTGTAGCAAAATTTCTTTTAGTATTTTGGGATAATAATATTTGTAGCTAGAACACTTGTTAGATGTGGTATATCCAACGATTCCCAGATAAGATTACAATGGGAATTTATTAACTTCAGTTCGTTGCAAGTTATAATTGCTCTTGCAAGTGGTGGAGAGTTTTTTTTAACGAAGTATGTAGATGTTAAATCAGCTGTATTTAATTCATTAATTATTTTTGCATTATAAGTGCCACGATAATGTTGGTTTAGGATATATTTGCTTGCCAGATATTCTCTGCGTAATGAGAGTGGATTTTCAGATGCTAGAGCTAGGGTGGCTTCATTTGGAGTGCTTTTCATCAATCCTAACACAATCCTTAGAGCTTTAAATTGAATTCTATCAAGTTTACGTAAATTGGTTATGCTAGCTGACCCATATACCATACAACAGTAATCTATTATAGATCTTATATAGGCTCGATAAAAATTCAATGCAATGTTTTGATCTGCACCCCACGATCTCTTACACACCATTTTAAGAAAATTAATACCTTTTTCGCAGCGACCAATTGTATAATTTATATGTTTAGTCCAAAGCAGTTTTCTGTCAAGTATGACACCAAGATATCTAAATTCCGAAACAATTGGAATATCATTGCCATGTAAGGTTACAGCGTGATGTTTAATAGGGTGTTTTCTTGAAAAAAATACTATGGCACATTTTTGGTACGAAATATTGAATCCATTTAACCAAGTAGAATTATCCAAGTTGTACATAAAATGTTTGAGTTCAGTAATGCTTTCACTGTAGGTTTCCTTATGTGAATAGATGACAATATCATCAGCATATTGCAAGCAAACAATATTGGGTGGGAGATCATAAATTGTGCAAATCGTATGTGTACAAATTGTTAATGTCAATCAAGTTTTTTATTGTAAAGAACAGTTTATTTTAACAATGTTTAATGAATACTTTTAAGTTTTTAGGCGAAGAAAATGGCGAAAAAAATAATGCCTATTGTTCAATAAATAAGATTATTTTACGCTAAACTTGAATGCTAATTTAAATTGCTCAAACCAGTATTTTTAACTTAAACAGGTTCACGATCAGTAACGAGTATTTTCCCCTTTAACTCTTAATACTGCTTGCATCCTCCTCGGCATGCTTGCAAGTAAATTTTAGGCATATTCTTAGGAAATTACATTCCATCCGTCCTGTGGAGCAAGCCAAAGGTGCTCTATCGTATTTGGAACAGGATTTCTTTGTCGTATGCTGAATTTTAGCAGATTCCTCATGTGCTCTATTGGATTTAAATCTGGATTAAAGGGTGGCTAATCCAATCTTTGAATTTGGACCTCATCAAGATAATTATTTACTATGCCAGCGAAATGTGGTCGAGCATTATCGTGCATTAACATGAATCTGTTATATCTAAACTGTTAAACCAACATATGGCAAAACATGATTTTGCAGAAGGTTTTGAACGTAATAGTAACGAGTCATCCGTTCAATCACTTCCACAAGTGCGGTACGTCCCTCCCAACTAATACCTTCCTAAAGCATTATGCCACCACCTCCAAAACTAACGGTCTAGGTGAGATTACGAATCGTTGATTAACTCTTCTTAAATTACTGTCTTCGAAAGGAAGATACTAAGAAGAATAATGGGCGCATTCTGTGAGAATGGTATTTGGAGAAGACGATATAATTTCGAATTGTACGAGAAGTATAAAAAAATAGTAAATGGTAGAGATGCAATATCCTTCATAAAAATAGGTAGGCTTAGATGGGCTGGACATGTGTCAAGAGCAAATGAAAATTACCCATCCAGACGAACTCTATTATCGGTCCCAGTGGAAAATAGGAGTAGAGGCAGACCACGACTGAGATGGAGGGACGGTGTGGACGAGGCGCGGCAAATTGGCAACGGTTGGCGATGAACAGAAACGACTGGCGAAATAGACTGGGGAAGGTCAAGGCTCAACTAGAGCTGTAGCACCACTGATGATGATGATGATGGTGATTAACTCTTCTGTAGACGTGTTTTTGACCATCTAGTTTCCATAATATGATTCTAGTCTCATGAGTGAAAAGAACATTTTTCCAGTTGTCAATATTCCATTGAATAAGTGTTCTTGCAAATTCTAAACGTCGAGCTTTATGGTTTTAGAGAAGACGTGGATCTTTGGCATTGCATCTAGGTATTTATTTTGCTTCTTTTAATCTTCGCCCAACTATTTCTGAACTCACATTAACTTGTCTAACATTTATTGGCTCATTTCTAAAGTGCATCGATGTCAATAAGCAATTTCATGTAGAATTAAGAACAAAAAAACGGTCATCAATTGCGGTTGTGCACTTTGAGCATCTTTGATTAGGCCTTCGTACAAAATTTCCTGTTTCGTGGTACCTTTTTAAAGTATTCGAAACTGTGGATGGACTTCTTCTGAGACTTTGTGTTATATCATTGTGTGTATATCCTTCCTCATACATAATTACAATATGTAGTGCTTGGGCTTCATCGCATTGGCGAATTGGTGGCATACTTGTTTTAACGTTAGTTAATCCAAAACAATATTTAATTAAGCTTATAAGTTAAACTGAAAATATCCAAATTAGTATGATTTTTCACTTACGCGAAGAAAGTTTTTAATGATAAAATGTATGAATGACACTAAACGCTAAATAAACGTCAAAATAAATGTCAAAATATTCTAAACCATTTGGATATAACAGCCAACTATATGAGTAACATCAGTAGTCTAAAATTATTTTGAAATAATAGTGACTACAAAAAAATTTTTGTCCATGAGTGTATCTTATTTGCCTATTATTCGAGTTTTTTTGTTTATTTTGTAAATAATCAGTAAACACTGTTTTTCAAAACAAACATTTTTAGGAACGAAACCGATTGGGTGTGGGACCATTTCCAGCAGACACCTTCAATGTCGACATATTTGGTCGCGTTTACGATAAGCGACATGAAGAGTCTTTCAGCTAATATTACAGCAGGACCACCTGTCAAAATTTGGGCACCCGAAAACGACCTCAGCCAAGCACAATATGCACTAGACGTCACAATGGAATTATTACCGTTTATGGAGGATTATTTTGATATGAAGTTTCCTTTACCCAAGTTAGATTTACTTGCAATTCCTAATTTTGGTAAAGCTGCTATGGAGAACTGGGGTATCATATCGTTTAGGTAAATACAAGCCAGTAGTTTTACTATAAGTACATATGCTTAATGTTTATTAAAACTGACATAAGCTATACAAGAAAATTTGAGACTACCTAAAAGACAAAAACATCGTTTCTAATTGGCTTCTGCATAAAATATCAATTTTTCCATGAAAATAAAAATTTTTTTAAAAATTAAATTCTTTAGTATGGATTTTATTAAACTTGTGTATTTTTTTCTTTTTAATCACATTTCTTTCTTTTTTAAGTTCTTCAATATTGAAGAAATTTCTCAACATTTTCTTTTCTGTTTTGATACTTTTTTAATTTCTTATGCTTCACATTGGTGATTTGGTTTGCAGTTACCAATAGTTGGTGTGGTGTCTGATTTAGCGTTGCTGCACATATTTGCTCTGTCTTCTTGGGTTGATTTATTTAACACTCCTCCTTCATATGTAATAAGTTCAAAGACATGCGAAGAAAAAGTATTAATATATACTAATATTTCGTTTATAAAAACTTAGTTTACAACAGTGCAAAAGGCAGCACACCACGCCATATCCCTTTGTAATATTGTTTACTCATTTTTTTTTGCTCATTGACTTGGGCAAGTGATGCCTAGTCAGTAAGAATCAATTTTCGCGACAGACTTTGGTGTTGTTTCCAATTATCTCATTTAGATCTCCATCTCACATTAAAAAGATATGATTTAGAAGGTTATTATTAGAATTCGGCAAATATGCAAATAAAAATGTAGAAAATATGCGCATAAATATGCACGTGTTTACCCGAAAATATGCAAATATTTTACAAAATATGCATACAAATAAATAAAAAAATCGTAAATTAGTAACAATTTTATTAAAAAAAAAAGTGTACATAACTAAATATTTCCTACTATTCATTAAGATTTACATTTATTTTAAGTAACTACATCATTTTTAAGTATGAATAAACTTATTTAGAATTATGGTAACAATAAATGACCAAGTGGTGTTCAAAATTTTCTGACAAAAACTTGTGGCTTCTGTCTGAGTACATATATTTATATATGGAAAAACTTCGTTCAACATCAACTGATGTAACGGGAGCATTTTTCAAACTAACCAAAACATTTGGTTCTAAATTAATTGTTTCCGAAATATTTCCATCTAGAACACTAACTACTTCAGAAAGAATATGGTAACCTTTATTTTTTTCCATAGTAGCTTCAAATTTTTTTAAAATATCTTTTCCAATATTACCTCTAACGTTCCGACAACATGACGCAAATTCTTTTATTAATGCTGTACTTTCGAACAATGACAGTTTTGGTGATTCTAACTGAGTAATTGTTTTTTGAACAAAACTAAAATTTGATGTTATAAATGAAAGTTCTTGTTGAAGCAAGTTACTCTGAAAAGTTTGTTTAGAATCCAAAAGAGATTGGGAACTTTCATCTGTTAACGTATCAATTATGTTCTTTATTTTAACAAAATGATCTGCATAAAAATTAGCTGCTTCTAACCATGTTCCCCATCGCGTTAAAATAGGTTGTGGTGGAAGAGGAATGTTAGGTAGCATTTCTTTATAAAGTTGAATTCTTATAGGAGATTTAAGAAATACTTTTTTGACACTGGATATCATGGTATTTACAAGAGGAATATTGTTTCGTATTTCCTCTGCAACTCTGTTTAATCCATGCGCTACATAAGTAACATGTATTAAATCTGGGAAAAATATTTTTAAATTTTGTCCTGCTTTTACCATATAAGGAGCAGCATCCGATAAAATAAGCAGTAATTTATTAGAAGGAATAGTTGTCGGAAGAAAAAAGGTTGCTAATGTTTCTTGTATAAAACGCGAAATTGTTAAAGCATTTGTTTTCTCAAGTTGCTGGCATGAAATAAGATGAGATTTTGGTAAGCTATCTTCTTTAAGAACACCAATCAATAAATGAGCAATATACTTTCCTGAGGAATCAGTGGTTTCGTCTACAGATATGTAAAAATAATTATCTGCAATTTCTTCCTTAATATTAATTAACACCGACGAGTATAGCCCGTTCACATTATTTTTTCTTAGAGACCGATCACTTGGAACATTAAGTTTGCAATATTTTTTTAGAAACGAACTAAAATTTACATTTGCTAATTTTGAAAGCGGTATGTTTGCAGACACTAATGCGCGACACAAGTCTTCATTAAAAGTTTCTTGCTCATCTAATTTTTTTGAAGTAGATTGGAAACATTTTGCCATTGAAGTTTGATGTTTTCCTCCTATTTTTCCTTTTTTTTGCAATGTGTGAAGCAGTTCTCACATGTTCGTCTATCTGAAATTTCTTCTCACATGCTATCTATAAATAAAAATAAAAACCTTTATTTTAACCCAACCTTTGAAATATAAAAATATACAAGGTGTTTTTGGTTTATCAAATAACTGGTTTGAAAAAAAAACACTCGCTAAGTGTTTTAAATGCAGTATTAATCCACAAATTAGTTTTTGTTACTAATCATTAGTACATCATATAACTTATTTTAAAATTCAACAAAAGTTTTTTTTTTGTTAATTCAATTACAATAAAAATAATTGTGTTTTAGAATAGCTGACTTCATAAAAAAAAGTAAAGGTGAAAAATTTTTCTAAATACACACCATTGTATTGTACCATGGACAATTTTTTCTCACTAAAGGAAGCTATTTTTCATTTAAAAACAACCTACGAGTACTAAATTTCAAGTAAATACGTTTATTGGTTTCAAAGTTATTGTTGTTATTAACTAAAAGAATTTAATTTTTTTTTTTATTTTAACACAGTGTATCTCGAAAAGTAAATAAGTTTGACCCCTCATTACCTATATCGTTTTTGTTCAATTTTTCGAGAAGTATCTACAGTCAAACGTTGTAAGTGTCATTTGGAAACACCCTGTATGTATGAAATATTAGATATTTAATAGAAGATATTAGATACTTACAATTTTGCCACAGACTGAACAGTAGATTTTTCTCAAATCCATAGACAGCTCTTTATAAGGTTTAATCCAAGTTGAAGCACTGGTTGTTTTAGGCATTATAAAATCACAATCTTCCTTTTTGTTACGCACAACGAGTGTTTACGCTTTGAATATCAAAACAAAAATGATTTACAAATCTGATAAACTGGGAGATTTTGGAAAATCCCTAAATTAGGAACAAAACTATTAGCCGTTTACCTGCTGTTAAGATACAATAAATTGTAGATAGATTTGGGGATTAGATCATAAAATGCAAATGAGCGAACCCTTAGCGATTATCCAATAACTGAATTGCTCAGTGACCGAGACTTTCTAAGAATGTTGAAGGCTACTTAAATTGATCTTCTATGAAACTGTAAATGTTTTGTACCTGTAGAGATTACGTACTTAGATCATTTTTTGATTAAAATGACTACAAAATTTTATACAAGAATTGAAATAAATTGGTATGTTTAAAAATTTTCAAATACAGTATAAAAATCTGAACTTTTATGCACTTTATGCAAACTTTTATACAAATATGCCAAAATATGAAATATTTGCATAAAATATGCACAATATGCAAAATATGCAATATGCATATTTGCCGAAGTCTAGTCATTATAAACAAATATTTATGATTTGTATCCTAAATCATGATACATAAAAACATTCTTCTATATTAACTCATTCTTAAGTACTTAGTAGAAGCAGTATTTAAATTTAGATACTAGGGCAATCTTCTGTACAGAAACCAAGTGAAGTATAAACGTTTGTTCTCGCTCGCCTGGATTGGCCAGATTTTAACCAAGTTGAAATTTTTTACTTATACCAAATTTTTTTCAGAAAATCGTCACTCTTATTTGATCCTAATTCAACTAGTATTAAGACCAGAAGCTATATATTAGCGAAAATTGCTCATGAATTAGTCCATCAGTGGTTTGGAAACTTGGTTACGATGGAATGGTGGTCCGACCTCTGGTTAAATGAAGGACTTGCCACGTTTATATCGGAAATAGCAATTACAACGGTAAGAATTTTATGATTATTGCTAATGCGTTCCTGATGCTGTTCATAAGACCAAAACATTTTTAGAAACCATACATAGTCGCTTTAACATTTATTTAATGTTAAAGGTACCATCTGCTTTATCATCAATATATTACATAACAATTGATAAATTACACAGAATTCCTAAATGTTTACGTTATTTTTCTATTAATTATTTTCACATCTCTTTCTATCCTCTCAAATTGATCTCGTAGGCTTTTTTATATTGCTTCGTCTTATTCGCCTCCAAACGCTCTTCTAGATTTTCAATTTCTGCTTCTTTCTGTTGCACTCTTCTTTTTCTTCGTTCTTCTTAATAGGTAAAATGACTGTCCAGTGTTTGGTATCTACGGTAAAACAGTTTTACCAGCATTTTTTAGATCGTCCAGTGCCTCTTCGACCTATTGGAAAATTGTCTCGAGATATTGACTATTCTGTTTTATTCCGTTTTATTAAAATATTTATTCCAATATATTCTTCTTTTTTAAACTGTGTTGTAACTAGGACTATTTATCACTGCCTTCGAATGTCTTCACTTTTTTGCCTATTTTATAAAATTTTGCCGATTATCCCCTTTATAGTATTTTCATCTATGTTGTTTCCATATTTGTTTTGTTCTAATTGTGTCAGGCCTTGCCTGACACAATGTCAATGAACTTCAAATGATCTGGATGTGACCAACGGGAGACACAAAATGAAAGCTGACAAACATCAAAACATAACCTCAGGTTATCCTGGATGATAACAATATGTATTCTTTAAACTCGGCTACCTATTTTTCTTAAAACCATGTCGGCTTAGTTAGCCTTTAGGACATTTTTATTCAAATCACTTTGTCACGCAATACAGCAACAAACCGGTGATTATCTTACTTTACAAAGACTGTCAAATAGTATTTTTAGCTTATATCACCTTCTTTTAACCAGAACTCATGGAATTAAGTCGAAACTGCCGGTTTTCAAAACTCAAACACAAGCTGTTCTCTTTGAATGCTACACTAGCGAATTTTTGATGACAAAATATGGACTCAAACAATAAAATCGACTGCTCTGGCAGCCAGTCCACCGACTAATGACATTATCTTCCCAAAATCATTCTCTTGTCAGCGTAAATTTTCCCACCAACCCAAGTGGAAAGATTCTTATTTATTTTCAGCATAAATATCTAGGCGGAACAAAGATTAACATAAAGAGAAATTTGTTTTTATTAGAAACATACTAAAAATGTTTATATTATCAATCTCATAGACGCAAAACGATTAAGAATCTTTTGAAATGTTTTGTTATATATGAAGTGAAACGAAAAGGCACTTTATAAATATAAATATATATATATATATATATATATATATATATATATATATATATATATATATATATATATATATATATATATATATATCAACAAAAAACCGCGTCCCTTACTGAGCGGTATGCTTTAAGTGTATTCGATCAACATTTACTTTAATTATACTTAATTTTGCACTGCCTCATTTTTTAGCTAAGACCTAAATGGCATGCTTATAGCAGCATTAAAGTTAGAGATACCTATAATACACTAAACTCCGATAGTCTCAAATCATCAAGGAGTATGCAGAGAGATATTATAACAAATGCCGAAATTGAACAAGTATTCGATCCTATCATCTACAGAAAAGGAAGCAGCATTCTAAAAATGTTAAACGCTACACTATCACACGAATATTTCAAGAAAGGTTTACAAGATTTCATCAAGAAATTGTAAGTAAAATCTTCTTTCATTCTTTTTTGTAAGTAAAAAAGTAAACTTTATTGTGTAACAACTCTGTAATCCGGTAACCATACGTCAGCCACTAGCCAACTAGATTTACTTAAGAGGCGGTGTGATACCTGTAAGTAACAAAGCCTGTGCAACTAGTTTACAGGCGCTTGTGATAATTTTCCCTTTTTTATTCCCTAAGCACTCGTAATTTTTATATAATTTCAAAAATGATATTGTCTGGTAGTCTTTCCAACGAAAGGCCATATTTGATTATATTATTTGATAATATATTGTTGAAATAAACTACTTGAAACTTTCACAAGCAAACGTTAGATCAAAATTTATTCTTCAACGGACATAAAAATGACTTAAAATTACATAAAAATGTTTAGACTAGTCATCCCGGATAAATCATTCAAAGTGTTCATCAAAAGTAGGAAAGCATTTTACTTCATACATTGTTTACTTTAGATGAAAGCGCAATTTACATTTTCCATTATCAATGAATCATCCGCGGTGTACACCCAACGTGAATGTGTACACCCAAAGTGAAACTAAATTCAAATTTTTACCACTGCTTTCTACAACTTGGGTATGTGGAATCCAAATTATTGATTAGCTTATCGACTAAATTATCAATATCTTTGCTTTGGAAGTTGTAGAAAGCACAGTGGTAAAAATTTGAATTTAGTTTTGCCAAGTAAGAAACCTTAGGATTTCTAATGTTGTTATTAAATGGCGTTGCAACGTCTGTGAATAATTATTTTTATAAGACTTGTACTATGACAATAGAGATTTAATTTTGATTCAGAGCCTCTGCATACGTCGCTCTGATGATTCCTAATGAGATTGAAATGCGTATAAGCGGCTGGTGGATCCCCTGCATTAAAATTAAAGATAATACTGTCTTTCTGTAAATGATATAAATTCGCCTCACAACTCAACAGAGATCATTATTTTCTCCACAACTGTCGGCGGCCGAATATTTCGCTGCTGGTACATTTTTGCTCCACTATCGGTTCCTATAATTACAGACGGTCCTACGAAACTTCACGTTAAGTTAACTGGATGTACTTTCATATAAGTTAAATTATTTTAATGTATAATTTATTTTTCAGCGCTTACAAATCTGTTACTCAGGATGATTTATGGTCCATTTACACAAATACCGCCCAAAATCAGAGTCTTATTCCCGACACAGTCACGGTTAAAGATCTAATGAACTCTTGGTCTGTGCAAAGCGGCTATCCATGTGTAACCGTTAATAGAGACTACTTTACTGGTGTTGCCACCATTAATCAAACTAAGATGACAGAGGATGCGAATGTCACTTCTGATGCTCTCTGGTACATTCCTATTACATATATCACGAAAGGTAATAGTGAAATTAAGGAAATATGGTTGGAAAATGTGAGAGAAACCAGTTTAAATATGAGTGGTATTGGAAATGGGTCTTGGATACTTTTAAATATTGACGAAACAGGTAAGTCAACAGATTTGAACCAACATTAGATACATTTATTCTTAAAGTTTTGATATATTTTGAAATCGTCTAGATACTTTTAGTAAATAACTCATTACTGGTTGTTTTAATTGGAGTTTAGTAACATATATGGACTACTAATACTAATTAATTAAAAGAAAATACATTAAAAGAAATTTCCAATAGGTATTCTATATTTTACAAAACGTGTTTTCATGATTTGCATACGAAAATATATATAGATAGAATATAGAATATATTAGATTACCAAAAAGCGTTTGATCGTGTCCAACACCACAAGTTAATGCAGATCCTCAAGAAAGTTGATATAGACCAAAAAGACATAAGATGCATTGAAAACTTGTACTGGCATCAAACGGCACAGCTAAAAATAGACAATTCTATATCCAAACCCATTCATATAAGAAAGGGCGTTCGACAGGGATGTGTGCTTTCACCTCTTTCATTTAACATTTATTCGGAAGCCATATTTCAAGAGTCTTTGGAGGATGCAGAGATGGGAATCAAAGTGAATGGAGTATTGATCAACAACATACGATATGCTGATGATGGTGTCTTAATTTATGACAACATAGTCGATCTTCAACAACTTGTCACTATAATCGGAGAATACAGTAAGCGAATGGGATTAGAGATTAATACCAAAAAGACCAAATTCATGATCATCTCCAGAAACTTGGATGCCCTTGAAAACTCCACCATAACACTGAATACTAAGTCCATTGAAAGAGTGAGTAAATGTAAATACCTGGAATCGTGGCTTTTTGAAGACTGGGCATCGGACAGGGAAGTAAAATGTCGCATTGAGCAAGCTCGACAAGCTTTCGTAAAATTCAAGAAGGTATTGACTTGTTCAGAGTTCGATCTTCAACTGAGACTAAGGTTTACTAAGTGCTACGTATGGTCAGTGCTGCTATATGGCGTAGGGGGCTGGACACTCAAAACGAGAGATATAAACAGATTAGAAGCTTTCGAAATGTGGCTTTATCGCCGTATCCTAAAAATACCATGGACAGCGAAAATCACAAATATAGATGTCCTTAAAAGAATAAACCAAGAACGCCAACTTTTCGAAACCATCAAGAAAAGGAAAACGGCGTATCTAGGTCACATCATGCGACATGAAAAATACCAGTTCCTCCAACTTATAATCGAGGGTAAAATTGAAGGCAAGAAAAGAATGGAACGCAAGAAAATGTCCTGGCTCCGAAACATAAGGCAATGGACAGGGATTAACGACATACAATCTCTGATATATATTGCAAGAAATAGAGAATTAATGGAAAATGTGATCGCTAACATCCAGTAGTGGATTTGCATCTGAAGAAGAAGAAGATACGAAAATATAGAAGGTGTCACTTATCCACTGCAAACACTAAAACTCTCAACCTTTAGGTAATTTAAATCAAAAATGTTGTTATATTGCTCAGTCATCAGAGACTTGACCTCTAAAAATTATAGGATCAAGCTGAATTATATGAAGAATGTCAATTTTGGGACCCAAAAAAAACCGCAAAAAAGTTTACCACTTTTACCCTACGGCTTTCCCCTAAAACGCCCCTCGTAGCGAGGGAAAAACGAAAAAAATCGATTTACCAAGAATCTGTATGCCATAGAAATAAATGTTTTAAATATAAAAATATAGCTGCGATAATTTTAAACAAAAATGTTAATTAACATTTTTTGTGTAAAATGAACCGTTCTCTCAGAATCAAAGCTTGAAGAAATGAGCGATTTTAAATGTTAGTTATGCGCGCGAAGTCAATTTCAAATAAAAATTTTATCAACTCTACAGCAAAAATTCGATATCTTTTGATCAGAGTGTCCTATCGATAAAAATCAAGTTGCGTTTTAAAGCTGAAGAGAGCAGCTTTCGTTTAAACTTTTTGTATTTTGCATCAAATAAAATCAGTTTTTATACAGGTGTTAAATAAATAAACGTTGCGCGATTTTTGCCATTTTTTACGATTCTCACGAAATCAATAAAATTTATCACTTTCATTGACCGGTTCTAGTGGAATTTCCATTGCTAGAGCGTAATCTTTAAAACCTAGAGTATGAAATTTCGGTTTTGAGTTTTGGCACAGCTTGCGCCGTCTGCTTTTTATATATAATATACTCGTCGCCGTCCTTTTTTCAGCCAGAATATGGTCTATTTGATTGATTGTGTTTCCGTCAGGTAATAATTAGGTGCCCTTATGTATGTCCCGATGTGGGAAGCATGTCGAACTGATAATCACATTCTTTCCAGCTGCGAAATCTATTAGAAACTGACCATTCTCATTTGTGTCTCTATGCAAACTATGTTTGCATAGAGACACAAATGTACACAGAGACATGTGTAGGACAGTGTAAATTTATAAGGCTTATGTTAAAGAAATGTGTTTTTATCCTAAGCTTGCAGATTCTTTCATTGATAGCTTGAAAGTCTGTTATCAGGTCCTTCATTTTATTATCTATAATAAAAACTACTCCAAATTCTTTATTTCCTTCATCTTTACCGCTATACAGTATAGTGTGTGTTTTAGTGTCCCGTATACCTTTTCCCAACCATTTACTTTTTTGTACTGCAGTGATTCCTATTTTATATCTTCTCAGTTCGTGTAGAAGGATCCTCTGTGCTCCTGGTCTATTTAGCGTTCTGACATTTTATTTTTCCAGCAAAAATTCCATATTCCGTTGTCAAAGTCGTCGTCTTGATATCCGTCCATTCCGAGGCCTATCTAAAGGTTGCGTAGTAGTACTTTTCACAAGAATAGGTTACTGGCCTATCGCCCAACCCCCTTTTCGGAGGACCATTTCTCCCTTCCTCGTCAGCCCTACCCTACTTTCCACTATGGTTGGTTACTCAATCTCTCGTAAGGTTGCTCAGGTTTACCAGGATTCAACCGTGTGATTAAGTCACACTTCTTAGAGGTGAGCATAGGAATTGAGTAGGAGTGGCTAGAGGTGTTATCAGGAAGCAACACCTTGTATTGCGCATCACTACTCCTTTGAACCCAAATTATGGGTTTATCAAGGACTGTTTAGATTATAAACATTTATAATAACTTTTACATGTTTTATGTGACGTTTATATGTGGGCTCAATGAAAAGCTGGTAAAAAGGACACTTAAAAAACAGAACTTACGACCAAGAGTAAATAAGATAGCATTTTATTCTAAAAATCATATTTTCATTATTTATTAACATTAACAACTGAAAATTGAAAAAAGTGTAAATGAAGATCTAAATTTTATGATCCAACTTATAGATGGTACCTATATACAGTGAAGAAGTAAGAAGTAATAACTTGTTAAACTGATGGTATTAGTAAAATCGCCACGCAAAATTGGGGGGTAGAACTGTCCGAACTCGTTTTTTTTTAGATTGGAACTTCAAATTAAAGCGCGCTGGCAAAATTTGCAATATCTTGGCTTCTCTAGCACGTAGAACCTTCATTTTTTAAACTGTTTGTAAACAATCCTAACAAAGTATTAATTTTCACCTCTTGGAAAATTCCGGAAAATATTTAATTAATTCAATTTTTCCATAAAAAAATTATTAATTAAATATTTAACTTTTATTGATACCGGGTACATCCTTTATTTAAGTATACAATAATTAAAGAAAATACAGTTAAAATTTGTGTCTCTGATTATTAGCTTATAAGCAAATATTCCTTATTTAGTCCTTTGACCCTATTTTTTTGTGTTGGTGCCGCTATCTTGGATGTAATTTGAGTTGTTGGACGATATTTTCTTCCTCGGCCTCGACGTCCCTTTGTCTTTGTTTGCAAAATTATTTTCTAAATGTATTATTTGCAACATTTTGATTAATATATTGTATAACAACATTTTGATATGTTTATTTTATAATTTTTTATTCCTTTTTTTATATCATTATTCCATTTATCTGTTTATTTCAAATGTTGTCTTAAAAATAAAAACGTAAATTAATATGTTTACTAATTAAAACATTGCTTATTTTTTTATTTTAGGATTTTATAGAGTGAACTATGATACACACAACTGGAAGCTGTTAATTTACCAACTAAGAACAGGTTCCAATCAAATCCCCGTAACAACAAGAGGTCAACTTATCGACGATTCTTTTGCTTTGGCAGAAGTAGGATTAATTAATTACACCATAGCTTTTGATTTAGTCAAATACCTTTACATAACCGAGCCTAATTACATACCATGGTACAGTGCTTTAAGGTAGGAGCTTTAAGGTTTAAGGTACAGGACGATGCTTTTGGGTACTCCAAACATTTTGTAGCTGATACTGTTCTGCTCTTTCATTATCATGTATTCTTTGGTGTACTAAAACCTATATCCGTATGACACTATGTTCCACTAGTCTGTCGAACTCGTCTCGGTGTATTCCCATATTAGCGTGAGTCTCTCTTAGGAGTTATAAGAGCAATGACTGATTGGCTATCTGTGTATATATATTATCCATTTCAGTTAGACGTCGGATATTGGAGATATATTTATAGCCTACATTTTGGATCTTTTCTGTTAAAATTGTCAAAATGGTTAGTTACTGTTGTTTTTGGTTGGATAGTTTCTAGCTAGTATCATAATTTTATTATCCCCAATTGTGCTTTTTTCTAATATCGTGTTGTATTCCCTTAAATTATTTCAAATAATTTTGTCAGTTCTTTCTAATTTACAGAATCTGTTTTTTTTTCTCTCTTTTATCAATTTTTTGATATATTAACTTATTTTGTTTGTATACACACAAAAATTTTTTGTAGAACCCGCACCGAGTGACATGTGTATTCCAATGAACGGTGGGACCCACATGACCAAAGATCAAATCGGTCAAACTTCGTAATGGAGTGCTACCTATCTGACCCCCAAGCTATAACCAACCACCACTTCCCATCGCAGGACATAACGAATGACGACTCCAAATGGTTATAGACAGTGTTGATGATAAAAAAGGAACTGCCAGATTCATGAAACGACAGCACAGAAAAATAGAAGAATCAATGAGGGCAACAAAAAAGATGTGTGCTACTCAAACGACCGATTCTATATCAGCAAATGGTGATGAAGAAGCAGTGCCTGACTCTTTGTCAACAGAGACACCTTCTACTTCCACGTTTAATAAAAATACGTTGCGGTTGCCAAATGTTGCTAAAGTCAGTGATAGATAGGTTTATCGATGCGAACTGCTGCTGCTGTTGCTTCTGCCGTTTTGGTTGACGTAAGTTTGGTTTCCACCGAAGATCTGGCACTGGTTATTGATAAAAACAAAATCCACAGAGCTGTATGTAAAGCCCGAAGAGATGCTTCAAAAGATGTTGCAGGTATTGCTGTAAATAGCATTTACTTTGATGGACGAAAGAACAAGACCCTGATAAATGAGAAAATGGGATATCGTTACAATCGCAAATAAATTTTGGAAGAATGCATCTCATTGTTATCTGAACCTGGATTAATTTATTTGGTACATACAACGCCTATCAATGTAAAATTGGGCTTCATTTACTAAAAATAACATTTTTTAATTTCTGATGAGACTTATTGTGAAACTTGAGACTTGTGAAACTGGTATGGGAGGAAATTCCCACAGGCAAAAGACCACTCGGACGTCCCATAATGCGATGGAGAGATAACATCCAAGCAGATCTCCGGAAAATGAACATTCCATTTGACCCTAGTTTGATGGAAGACCGAACAAAGTGGATAAAAGTTGTACAGTCATCCAAGACCCATCCAGGATTGTAGCGCTACGTGATGATGATGATGATGACGAGAATTATTGTCCTAAGGGGGTCGACAGAGTTAAAGTAATAATAGTGTGTCCCATTACAAAATTATATTTGATTCAGTCTAAGGTCCCTGAGAGTGCGTAGACCCACTAGATATGAAAATAATCTATTTTTATCCATATTTTTGTAAATAACTTTATTCGACTTCACTGTAAAACAACTTAACGTCCAATGACTCATACGTGCTTCTATATCCATTAAAACAGAAATTTCTTTCTGTCTATTCTTTTTTTTTCGAATTTTTATGATTTATCTGAAAATTTTTAGAAATATGGAAGAACTGAGAGAAATCATTAGCAACTATGAATACTCTGGATTGTATGACAATTTCCTGCTTAAGCTTGTAACACCAATGTACAACGAACTAGGAACGGAGACCAGAGTTTTTGATACCCAAAATGAAAAATTGTTAAGGTTGCATATCGTTATATCGGCGTGTAAATTGAGATACGGTAAATGTATTACTTGGGCTAGGAATATATTCTATCAATGGATGAAACAAGGAGATCCTGATACAGAAAATCCGTAAGTATTTATCACCTTTGCTTTGTACATAATTATGCTAGACCCATATTTTTTGTTACTATCAATCTCCTTTATTACAACTAGCTCGACTATGTCTATGCATTTCTTGTTAGCTACCTCTATCTGGTAGTCTTGTTTCTTCACTAATACAATGTATTTGGAAAACAATTTTCGAAGTGGAAATCTAAACGTCAAATAAACTTATTTTTAAGTAATATTGTGGCTTATTTCCAACAAAAATAGTAAATTGTATTTATATATATATATATATAAATATATATATATATATATATATATATATATATGTATATATATATATATATATATATATATATATATATATATATATATATTCGGTTTTATAACGTCTTACGACGTTGTCCGACTCCCAAACGCCACTGTATTCTGTCTTGAGTTAGATCTTCGTCCAGATTTCGAGCGCTAATCGCTTTCCTAACTCCTAGGTTCCAGCTCTGTGGTGGTCTTCTTCGTTTCCTCTTCTCTGGGGGTTGCCACATCATCTTTTTTTTTAGGCAATCTTTCGTCCCCCATTCGGCTCACATGCCCATACCATATGAGTTATTTTCTCTCAATATCCTCAACTATAGTGCCCTCTATACCCATTTGTTGTTTTATTGCTTCATTCCCTATTCTGTCGGCTCTTGATATTCTTATCGATCTTCTGATGGCATCCATTTCCGTGGCTTCGACCTTTTTCTTATATTTCTCGGTTATTCTCCATGTCTCATCTCCATAAAGTAGGCTAGTTTCAACCATTGTCTTATAGATGTTCCATTTTTTTTTCTTTGATATTTCTTTACTCCATAGAACTCCGTTCAAACATGCTATAGCTCTTCGTGCTTGTACAATTCGATGTTCTATTTCTCGTTCGTCTTTTCCACTACGGTCGAAGATAACGCCCAGGTATTTATATTCGTCACATGGATTTATTTTTTGATTGTCAACGATATCGAGTTGTTCTGCTTCAGCTCCAATTGAGAGGTATTTTGTCTTTTCTAAATTGATATTTAATCTCCATTTCTGGTATGATTTAAATCTTCATTATGAGTCTCAATTGAAGAATACCAGAAATTGTATTAAAATGCCAAAAGAAAATAGCTTCAGAACAATATCTTCCTTCATAATTTGACACATATCCTGTAAACATTTCTCTGATCTATCTTGCATGCTACATGTACCCTATGTCGGACTTTCTGCTCTTTTCTCGTATTTATTTTCACGCCTCATTTTAAACGCTTTTTGTACTCGCTTGTTTGTTTTTCTTGGACTTCTTTCCTTAGATTCCTATTTTTAGTTACATGGATACAAAAAGTTACCAATGGTGACGTACTTCGGTGCAGAAATAAACAAAAAGAATTACCCATCATACTCCAAGAGAAATAAATAGAAAACTTGTCATGTGTTAATAGGTGAAAAATATGAATTACTTCAAATCATATTGGTAGGTAAGGTTCAGGGCAAAAGATCAGTTGCAAGATGCCAAAATTCGTAGCTGAAAGACCTGAGGAGATGATTTGACCGCTCATCCACAGAAATCTTTCGTGCAGCAGTTTTTGAAGCTACAATTGCCATTTGAGTCGCCAATCTTCAAAAGCACACGCAATAGTGCAATAAAAAGAATAATTGTATATTCACCATTCCCTCAATCATCTCTATGACGTAATTAGTCGTCCAGGTATTTTTCGAGTAGGCTTCTTCGGTTACACATAATATTCTTGCATACTTCTTTCGGCTTCAGAGTAACATGTGGCATCCAGTTAAGAGTATAAGCAGTTCTTTTTGACTGTGATTTAGTCCGCTAGGCTACACCCTTCGTGTAGATCCATTCATCTAATCACAGCAAGATTGACTTTTCTCTCTGCTTCTTTTTCACTCTTTCTCTATCTCTTTCACAAAATCCTCATTATTTCCTTCATACATTCCCTCACTTTTCTTCACTTATAAATAATTATATGGAAATACAACTGGTAACAATTTTTTCTTCTGCTGAAGCCATTAGATGCAGAACAAATAAAAATGGTAACTGAAATATTTAATGAAATATGCAAGGCAGGAAAAATACCAGTAGAGTGGCTCAAATCGGAGTTCGTACCATTGACCAAAAAAACAGGAGCAAAAATTTGTTAAGACTTTAGGATCATAAGTCTAATGAGCCATATGCTAAAACTGTTTTTAAAAGTCATCCACATAAGAATTTACCGGAAATGCGAGAAACAAATTGCGCTTAATCAGTTTGGATCTGTGTACGCCGTTGTTACGAGGGAGGATTTATTTCGCGTGCAGGTATTATTTCAGAAATGTAGAGATGTCAACTGTGATGTTTTGGCATGCCTGATTGACTACAAGAAGGATTTCGATAGAAACAGGAAGGAACAAATGATGGAAGCGCTGAAGAGGACAATGATTGATGGAAGAGACCTAAAAATAATAGCTAACCTGTATTGGAATCATTCAGCGGTGCTCCGAATAGATGGAGAATATACCGATCAGGTGAAATTATTCAAGGGAGTGAAACAGGGGTGCATAATTTCACCACTGATATTTAATTTGTATTTGGAGCACATTTTGGAAGAGGCTTTAAAAGATATTGATGAAGGCATCTCAATAAATGGGGTTAAGCTCAATAACCTGCGGTATGCAGATGATACAATAGTGTTTTCCAATACCATAGAAGGGCTACAAAACTTAATGAACAAAATAACGTTCATGCTTTTGAGCTATGGTTATACAGAAGGATCCTGAAGATACTAGTAATAACTTCATGGTCGGACGACATAAAGAATATGAGTGATTACTCAATATGGAAAGGAAAACATTGCCACAAATGATTAAGGATAAAGAAGCAGAGGGTATTGAAAGGGCATTGCCAGTTAGTGTTTTAGTTACTTTTTGCATTGTATTTTTTTACAGCTTATTTTTTTTAATTGTAGAATTCCAGTTGATTATCGGTTTATAGCACAATGTGCTGCTATTAAATCGGGTGGGCCTGTTGAATGGGATTTCCTTTGGAATCGGACTCGTTATTCGAATATAGCGCCGGTGGATCTACAAACAGCATACCAAAGTTTAGGGTGTACGTATGATCCTTGGTTAATAAACAGGTAAGTCATTTATTTACTGCAATTATTATGTTTTTTAATTAGGTTAAATAGAAATGAAATTCATTACATTCGTGTGGAATACATTTCATTCAATTAATATACAATAACGTTCCAGTTGACATACAAACAAAATGAGACTGATGCATTGAAACAGAACATTCAATTCAATATTAGAATAAAAGGCAAATAAGAGATATCTCTATGTACGGGGGAAAATTAGAAAATATCGTGTTTCGTACTATTATTATAACTGTGGATTTTTTAATGGATTGTTTAAAAACTAAAAAGAGTATATTCGAAATATATTGCCTGTCTGGTTGTGTTGGGTTAAAATACCACCAATTTCACATATAAAAAATATACTTAAATGGTATATACTTGAATCACATTTATAATTAAGTTTAATAATATAAAACAAATCCTTCTTCTTCACTGGCTTTACAACTCGGGCTGAGCCTTTGACGCATCCACTATCGCCCTCCATACTCTTATACCATACTCCAATTCTAAATAAATCGGTTTCAACATCATCCTTCCATCTTTTTCTCGGTCGACCTACTGATCTTCTACCATCGAGTCTTTCAAAAAAAACACTGTTTTTAACACTCTGTCATCCTTTGATCCTACCACGTGACCTGCCCATTTTATTCAGTATGCCTTGATATGTCTAACTATGTTTTCAGTTCCATACAGAGTCACCAATTTAGCATTGCGGCGTCTTCTCCAATCCCCTGTGAATTCATCTCTTTAAGGGCCAAATATTATTCTGAGAACCTTTCTTTCAAATACTAGATTATTGATTTCCCTCTGGTTGAGAATCCATGTTTCACAGCCATATGTAATAATTGGGCCAATAATCGACTTGTACAGTGTTAATTTAGATTTTCTTTTTAGCAGCTTCGCTCTTAATAATGTTGAAAGGGAGTATAATGCTCTATTTCCTCAGCTATCCTCGCTGATACTTCTTTTTCTATGTGGTTGTCAGCTGTGATTATCGCCCCCAGGTATTTAAACTCCTTTACTACTTCGAAGTTGTGATCTTTAATACTGATGTTCTGCCTAACACTTGGTCTTGGATTTTTGATTACTACCATGTATTTTGCCTTTTTTTTATTTATTCGAAGGCCCAGACTACCTGTTTTCTCCTCAAGCTGTGAAAACACCTCTCTCACGTCTCTTGTAGAATGCCTGACTACATCTATATCATCAGCAAAGTCCAGCAACAGTTTTGATCCTTGATCAGCAAATCCTCCTCTCAGCTCAGACGATATTTTACTTATGCATATTCTAAAGCAAAATTGAACTGCAACGGTGACAAGGGGTCCTCCTGCCTTAGTCCTGAGTTTATACCAAATGATATCGATGTTCTGCTTCCTATTTCGACTTGTGCATATGAGTGTGTCACGCACATTTGCGTTAATTCAACTAATTTTCTTAGTATTCTCATTTCTAACATTGCTATCCACAATTTGCTTCTTTTTATGGAATCATATGCTTGCTGGAAATCTATGAAAATTTGGTGCACATCACGGTTGAATTCCCAATTTTTTTCTAATATTTGTCGGATGGTAAATATCTGACCTATAGTTGACCTTCCAGCACGAAAGCCGCATTGGTAGTCGCCTAGAATATCTTCCGAATATGGTGTGAGTCTCTTTGGTAAGATAATTGATATATGATTTGCAAATCCTAAAGAGGAAAATTAAAATATATAATGTTGGAAATGGCCATCTTAGTCGACCTTTCATAATCATAATTAAGGTCTTTAGCCAATGAAAACGATATGACAGCGCATACAATCTCGTATGACAATAATATATGAGTTATACAAGAATAAGATGGCCAAATAGTTTTTCATTTATTCCTATTACAAATTAGAGATTCTTTCTTTTTAATTCTATATACATTTTCTTGTATTTTTATCTAATTTTTAGGTATTTGGAGTATTCGTTATCAGGCAACGTTAGCTTGGAATATGTTCCCTACGTCTGGCAATCCATAAACCATCCTGTGGGAGTTAGAACTGGTTTTCAATTTCTAAGGTTAAATTGGAACCTAATTTATAAAACCTACGAGGAGGTTTATTTAGTTTTTAGTACAATTTTCCATGACTTCCTTGGACAATTCTCCACTGAAGCTGACCTAGAAGATGTAAGTAATAATTTCGTATATTTGTATATATTATAATAGAATACTCTAGAATTAGGTAACGATATTGGTTGTATATTTATTGGAGGAAGATGGCCGGTATCATTAGGGATACTGCTATTGAAATACTTGGAAAAACGTTAAAAAAGAAGTTAGAAAATCAAAAGACCTGTTGGTTGTCAAACGAAGTTGAAAAAAACATAAAAAAAAGGAAAATTATATAACCGTAAAAAAATCTAAAGCAGAAGCGTATGTAAATTTATACGATCTATTTGATATAGTGTACAATAAAATACTAGTTCACGAAGAGAATGTGAAAAGGAGATGAAAAAGTACTTTGACAGTTTAATAAATGAAGAATTTGACATAAAACCAGTTGAGTTATCAGAGACAGTGTAATGGGTAGCTCTTTTAGACAACACACTCAGTGAAACTCAGGTTTAACTTAAATAAATAAAACAACAAAACAAAAATGTATCCAAGATAATAATGTGTAAAGAATTATTCAAACGTTAATCCGAGGATCGGCTTTATCGACGACTTGATGACCCACTGTTTAATATCCACAAAAAAAAAATACAATTAATGTCAAAAAATCTAAACGATAATTACGGTGTATTAATACACATGCGGCGAAGATTGGAAACGACGAGTCAAAGAAATATAGATGGAACGAGCCAACTAACACTCGGTCCGTCGAGGAGCGGACGGAGCCTTCGGCGAAATCATCTGCAATCAGTTGTCATCTGCAATCCTGGCAGCTGGGATGGCAGATATAATATGCCACACATTAATAATTTAGTACATTTGAAATAATTTAACCTATGCTTCAACTAAAATGTCTGTCGTAGTTGCCGCAAATAAGTTAAACCGGGTTAATTTGTCTATGCACACCAGATAAAACGTCACTGAACAGCACTGGTTCCGTTTAAAACATGGCTGATTCCGTCTGCGTGAACGAGATGCACGTACTTATTTTTTCAAGCAGAGTGGACATTCTGATCGTTTATTATTCTGTGGCACGGTTATCAGTACTTTGTATGTGACGTCCAAAAGTGCTATTCCCTGACTTAACTAAGTAACTTGACAGGTTTCCCTTCTAATGTATTGGGTATATTATAATAGACTTGCATCACTCTTTAGGTATTATTTTATCTTCCCAGATATAAAATATTAGTTTGTAGTTTTTTTCTGTCAGGTAGACTTCTCCACATTTTAAGTTTTCTGCTGCTAACCCATGTTCTCCAGGGCTTTTATTGCTTTTCATCGCAGTTAAAATTTCCTTAACCTCATCCTTAGTTATTCTTGCAATATATGTTCCATCCATTGGTATTGATTCTCGTTCATTGTCGTTTTTCTCCTCTATTTCACCGTTCAGGTGTTCTTCGAAATATTGTTTCCATCTCTTCAATTGTTGTTGTTCATTTCCTATCAGATTACCTTCTTTGTCTTTAATGTATGTCGTTTTTGAATTGTAACCTCTGCTTATTTCTTTAACATCTTTGTAAAAATATTTTATATCCTTCCTTTGGTATTTTTCTTCCATATTTTGAAGTTGACTCTCTGAAAGCTTTCTTTTCTTCCTTCGGCAAAGTTTCTTTACTAATTTCCTGTGCCCATGATATCTTTCTTTATAAGTATCTGGTTTGTCTGCTACATGTTTTGTCTATATATTCGCTTTAACTCTATTTCTTTTTCACATTCTGTGTTCTGTGTTCTTTCTTCTTTTTTCTTATACTATTTGTTATATTTCTATTCATAACTGTTTTTATACTATTTTCAAGTATTTGCCAGTTTGCTTGTATGCAATTTTATTTTACGTCGCGGTTATAAATATTTTCTAGATCTTGCCTATACTTGTTGGCTACTTCCTCTGTTTTCAATTCGTCGTTGTTATATCTTATGTTTTGTCTTCTTTTGGGTTTGATTTTTTCTGAAACTTTACTCCGACCATATAATGATCTGAATCAACGTCAGCTCCTTTGTAAGTTCTTACATTAGTTAAGTTTTGAAAATTTAACCTCAATTACCACATGATCAATTTGGTTTGTTTCCCTGGTGAAAGGTATTATCCATGTGGATCCTTTCTATGGGTAGTGAGATTAACCTTTGTCCATTATCATTGCTTTTTTCGTGCATTCATTCGCCCCCGGTGATTTTCTTGTACATTATTCTTGTTATTTGTTGACTACCAGTTTAATTACGCAATCTATCAGGCGTCTCCTTAACCCGAGATGTGATAAACACCGTGATATGTAGGATACGACTGATCGAAAACGAAAGTCAAATATTTGGTCTGCAATTAAACATGTCAAAGACAAAGATCATGATAGTGGATAGACTACACAACAATCATCCACACATAACCACAATTGACCGATTCGAGGTTGTGAGCTCATACTTATATCTGGGATCATTAATCACAAACACAGGGTCATTACAAAAAGAGACTAAACGTAGATGTGATCTAGCAAAAGTTGCCACAGCAAAAATGACCAAAATATGGAAGGACTGTCAAATTTCAATAGCGATAAAGATGAGGTTGATCAACTGCTTAATATTCCCAATACTGACCTACGGATGTGAATCTTGGACTCTGAGACAATCGGAGAAAAGAAAGATAGACGCCACTGAAATGTTCTGTTGGAGACGAATGTTACGAATTTCTTGGACCGACCGTAGAACAAATAATTCAATTTTAAGAGAGCTAAAAGTTAGCCAACGACTCTCTAGTAAAGTCCATCTCCAACAATTAAAATATTTTGGGCATGTTATGAGAGCAAACACAGAAAACATGGAAAGACTCAAAGGTAGACTCAATAATAAAAGGAAAGGTAGAAGGCCGAAGATCACTAGGAAGATCCCCAACAAGATGGATAGATCAAATTACAGGAATATGCCAAAGACCTATTACTTACTTACTTACTTACTCCGTGGCGTTACAACCCTTCGTGGGTTTTAGCCGACTCGACAACATGCCTCCACTGTTTTCTATCTTGAGCAACCTCCATCCAATTCTCCACGCCCATAGTGCTTAGGTCTCCTGCTATATTATCTCGCCACCGAAGACGAGGGCGTCCGCGTGGTCTCCTTCCAGTTGGGACTTCCTCCCATACCAGTCTTACTGTTCGTTCATCAGAATGTCTTCTGAGGTGTCCTGCCCATTGGAGTCTTCTGGACTTTATTTCTTTTATGATGTTGGTGTCTGGGTAAAGTTCTTCAAGCTCTTTATTAGTTCTTATCCTATATTGTCCTGATGCTTCATCAAGCACCGGACCAAAGATCTTCCTTAGGATTTTTCTTTCCCAAACACGTAGTCTCTCTTCATTTGCCTTTGTCATCGTCCACGTTTCGCTTCCATACATCACAACGGGTCGTATGATTGTTTTATAGACCTGTATCTTCGTACCTCGTGTTAGTTGTTTTGATTTTATAAGGTTTTGGAGGGCAAAAATACATCTGTTGCCGGCCTGAATCCTGTTGTTTATTTCTTGTGATCCGTTATTGTCTTCAGTTATTGTTGTTCCAAGATACTTGAATTCTCTAACGCGCTCAAAGTTAAAGTCATCGATGGTAATGTTCTGACCGATTCTGTCTCTGCTTTGGTTATTGCGGCTCATATACATATATTTCGTCTTATTTTCGTTGATTTGGAGCCCCATCTTCCCTGCTTCCTTCTCAAACCTTACGAAAGTCTCCTTCATCTTTAATCGCGTGTTTCCTATTAGATCTATATCGTCTGCAAATGCCAGTAGTAAGTTTGGTCCTTCTCGATGAAATACTGTATTCGGTTTTTCGATTCTTGCACTTCTGATTATGTGCTCCAGAGCTAAGTTGAAGAGTTGTGGTGAAAGTGCCAAAGACCTATGCATGAATTAAAAGAAATGACCAGAGATAGAGATCTCTGGAGACGGACAATACACGACATCACGTCGACCACTACACTTCCCCTGGAGGGTCAGAATTGAAGAAAGAGATGTAGGTCTTAGAGTAAAATACTAAACTATGGAGATAATAAAAGATACTAATGCTTGAGAATATTTTATTCAAAACGCAATTTGCACATAAAAACAAATAAATAACGTGTACTTTTGTTAACTACCAATCATCATTTTTCCCACAGTCATAGTCATATAATACAAGGTAGAGTGATCGTTGCAATATCAGTCCGGTCCTCTAGTGCAACAGAGAAAACTGATGCAAACCAGTCCCTACATCTTTCTAATTTGCCAGGTTTATCGACCACGTGACCTAAATGTCCAATGAGAAAGTCACGTGGTTCGATAAACCCGTCTCATTAGACAGAGATGCAGCGACTGCTTTGCGTCAGTTTTCTCTGTCGCACTGGGGGAACGCGACTGTATTGCAGCAGTCAGTATATCTTGTATTATATGTCTATGCCTACAGTAGTCTATGTATTATACAGAGACATTATTAATGAAAGAAGATGGCGTTTTATAAAACTATACGATATATACGAAGAATATTTATTTAAAAAGTCTTTATTGTTGTATAAGCATAATATAATAAATATAACTTATGTTTTAGCTGACAACCTTTTATAAAATCCACCAAACCGACCTAAAAACCATCTCCACAGTTCTGCAAAGTACAGTTGACAGAATAAAAGTCCGCATTAACTGGAAAACGAAGCACTTGGATTCAGTAGTCAATTGGTTGAAGAGAAACAGATATTAAAACAATAGTGTCATTGCATAGTATTGTATATTATAAGTAAAGCTTAAGTTGTATATGTGTCTATTACAGATGAGTTTGTTATTTTTGTGTATGTATGTATCTAGCTGTAGTGTCCAGTTTTTCTCGATTTGTAAAATATTAATTAAACATGTATCGTACGTATTTGAATTGGATAATTTAATAAACCTAGTCAAACAGAATGTTTCGTTTATGATTGCTCTAATAGGGAGAATTTTTATTACTTAAAAAAATTAAGATACTGAAATAAATGGCAAAAATTATGTTATTAGGGGTAGGGTGGAATAGTGGCCGCCTAAGCATTTTGGTTTATTTATACTGCTACATAGCTTTAAAAATTATACTGTTAACGTAAATAAAACTTCAAATCATAGTACTTCAAACTCTATTTACGAAAAATTTATAAACAGAACAAAAAAAAATTAAAACGGTTTTTCAGACTTTTGCTGGTGGCCATATTTACCCACTGCCGAGGGGTAAAAGTGGCCACTACCACTATTACCCCCATTAAAAAATAATTAAATGCAGAAATCGTAAATGTAAATTTTGCCTTCGAAACTGCTACAGTCTTTGTATGCCCATTGGCCACAAATGCTGCATTGGATCCAGAGTTATCTGTTTTTACCGAATTCGCCACAAAATGTGTAAATTTCTTCGTTAACGTCTCTATCACGGCCATCATCATCATCCTCATCTTCAGATGATATATCTTCTGTGATCTTCTGTGTTCTTATGCAGTTTCTTTTTGGAACTATTCGCGGAGGACTGGACTCTTCGATGCCTATATTTCGTTTCGTTCCTTTGCTGGCTTTATTTTTCATTTACTCGTCCTTCTTCCGCTGTTTTTCTTTAAGAATTAACTTCATTGGTATTGATGTCATTATTTCGGAATGTTGCTTCCTGTTGCTTTTGTGGTTGAATCTTTTATTTCCAACTGAGTCATCTTTTGAGCATCCTGGTAGTGGAATTATGTAAATAAAAGATACTTCCTTATTATTCTTTTCCTTATCTAATCCACTTTTTTTCTCTTGGTCTAGTGTTTTTTTATCTTTTTCTTGTATAAATGATTCACCTGGAGCAAAGCCTTCATCGGTAAAATTTTCAAGATTATATGGAAATATATATAAATATATTCTCAAAACCTTGAATAGCTTTGACTGGTGTGGCTACGCGATCGTATGAATTTTTAAATATTTCAGCTATTTTAGAAGACTTCGAAGGTAATTGCCACATTCAATGTTATCCACTGATTTTAATCATCCAGCGATTGTAGTCGATGCGAGTGTGCGGGGGTACCGTTAACATAATAATTCCTCGTTCTTTACAGAAATTATATGTCTCTAATGTACAGTGACTACTGTGATTGTCGACGATTATCAAAATTGGATCCTCCTTTAAAGGTTTTACAACACTGTAAAAATGCTGGAGCTATTCGAGAAATATTTACTCATTTATCAACCCATTCTCCGAGCAGCAGTTCCTGAGGCACTTATGCAGCACATAATAGTTGCTGTTTGACCTCTTTCTGTGCTTGTAATAAAGCCTACTCTCTTTTGTTCCTTTTCATTAAGAATTTTTCCGGGGTTTTGGACAGTTGTTATGCCTGTCTCATCCGCATTATATATGTCTCATCTGCATATATCAAGTAGATATGGAGTTAATACTTGTCGCCTCCGGTTTTCTTAATCGAATAGTTGAATTTCTTTTAAGGAAGCCGTCAAGCCAGTCTATTCCAGTAATTTCTTTTTCTTTGGAAAATGTATGATGTAAATTTTTTCTTCAGCGTATTTATAGGCACATTTTTTTATTTCTGTGGGAGTAATCCCATAAAAATGTTTTGATAACTTTATGACTTACTTTGTCAACACTTCATCTTCTTTGGTAAATACAGAATTACGACCTAAAGAAGCAGCTGTTGTATCATTTCGCTTTAGTTGAATTGTAGATGTGGGAATTTCAAAACTTCTTGCAACTTCACGGATGCTTTTGCCATTATTTACTGCATTTCTTGCTGCACTAGTTGCAGCATTCCATCGTGCTTTGTCACTTTTTCTGTTGTAAACTCGAGGCATCTGAAATATAAGAATTTATAAAGAAATACTCTGTATTATATAACTCCAAAATACGTACTTACTGATCGACTCATATCATTAATCACTTAAATTAGAACAAGAACTTTTAAAAATTTAACAAATGGGTACCAATTATGCAGCTAAATAAACTTAATTACACACTTCTACACACCTTTAAAAATCTTACATTATTACATCAACTTCAACAAAATATGACATTTTCAAAAATTCCTTCTTTGCCGACAAAACATCTTCATTGTTTTAGGTACAGTTTGAACGAAATACTGTTAGATGGCGCAACAGGTATTACCTAAACTCGAAATAATGTAAATGTATTATATGTAGAATTCGCATTGCAGAGATATTAGAAACGGTAACAGCGGTGATATTTACGACTATTTTTACTATACACTAATTTAATAGTATTCGACAAAAAAAAAAACGAAAGTGAATATTTATTTTTTAATTTACATAATTTACTTGTTCCAATTGTGCACCATTGCATCGCAAACACTCTTCATAACTATTTTGCAGATTATCCAACATATTCATAAAGAGTGGTCGCTACAATTGTTGAAAATAGGTTATTATCTTTTGTCGTAATTCTCCGATATCTACTGGCGGAACTTCTGAATTCATTACTGATTCCTTCAGCCCGCTCCAAATGTATGTATCAGATGTGTCAGATCAGGTGAATGAGCTGGCTACTTAAAGTCTGTCAATACACTACCAGCGTTATGAAATTTCTAAAAGATTGCTAAAATTACTCTTTTACTGGAGAGACGTCTTATTAAACACTTGTCAATATTTTTCAGACACTTGTTTTAAACTTGGTCCATTAGTCAGTCCATTTCCGTATTAGCGGAAATAATGCTCTAGTATAAACACTTTGTCTTCAGTTATCAGAACCATTTTCATGACAGTTTTAATAATAGAGCACTGTTAATATGACTGTTAATGACAAATATGCCCAATCAGATAAATACACATTGTGTGCACAGTCTTACAGCCATCTAAATTTCGATACTCTTGATACTTTTCGATTACTACTGTTAATAATTATAATTTCTAATTACATTAGAACAACAAACAATTTTAAATTTCTCATCATTAAATCGTAAATCGTTGTCTGTTGCTACAATAAGCTCTGGCAATCCAAATCACCTTACTACTTTTTGGCCAACCACTTAAACTAACATCCTTTTTCTCATCAGACAAGATTTAAATGCTCTTAATAACACTCCTATCTTTTGATTCAACTTTGGACACCAAGTGTTTTGCTATCAATACGCTTCTAACCATACTTGGGAGACTCTAGTTTATTAATCTTAGAAATTAGGGCCTTAATTTTTTGGAATAATGACGCTATTACTCTTGTCAAACATTCATTATTCATGTTACGTTTGTTTCTCTTGGTAAAATAAAGTTTCCGTTTCATTTTATTGTAAAATGGTCATTCACGTCTTATGCAATTTATTACTTTTGACTACAAATGATCTTTCGTTGTTTCTACTTGTATAGTTTCTACTGCTTATATTTCTGCATATCCGAATACGTAAATATATACTTATTCTTTATTTCCACATGCTTATCCCAATAGACAAACAATATTAGCTATTTCACATGCCTTTTTTGCCTTCATGTCATAAACGTATGCCGATTATTTTACTGTTATCTGCTATAGTGATCGTGCTATGTAAATGCACGCATGGGTAATGTTGGAAAGCTATTTTCTTTCTCAAAAAATCATCCTGAATGGTTGATGATCTGATAATATGATAAACTTCCTACCAAGAAATATATCCTGTACTTGGCCGTAATTTACCTGTGGTAGAAATAATTTACATGAGTTAAATAACAAGGGCTTTGCAAATCCATTCTTCACTAAGTACAAAAAGCTTCCAATCCATATGACTGACATCTGGCGCTACAATCAACCCTTTACTTTGATCAAAATGTTACAGTCTTGGTGTTACACAATTAGATAAAGTTTTGCTTGTTCAAACGCTTCTATAAAACAACATTTTATAACTATATAAACTATAAAAGATTAGACATTTTTCTGTAATAACTCATTTAAGCGGTTTAATAGATCTGAATAATCTGGAAAAATTTTAGAATAAAAATTGATTCATTAATCTCCCTGTTGTGACACTGGATCTTCTTCAACGTCCTTTACTTTAGATTTTAATGGTCTAATATCATTTTTACTGAAAGTATGAACGATAAATTAGGTCTCATTTTAAAAGAAATTACTCTTTTGCAGGTTATTTTAATTTTATGATCTTCGGTTTCAAGAATTTTCAAAATCTTACTGCGTTTTCTCTATATTATCATAAAATGATTTAGATATACTTCAACAAATGACAATCCTTTAACACAAAAGATCCGAGACTGCTAAAAACACCATGAGCTAACAAATAAGCTTAAATAGCCCTAAATGTGAATTTTTTTGGTTAAAAATTATCTTCTTTGTTTATTCATATTTAGATATAAGTAAACAATTCTCAAATCTTACCGTGAAAAAACAGCCCCTGGCACTACTAAAAGGACATAAGCAGTGAGTAATGATCCACTTTTAAAATACAGTTTATTGAAATTTATTTATATCCTACCTAATACCTCTTTTATTTTATCCTAATTTATTCTATTTTACTACTAGAATGACATTAGCTATGTGAGTATGTTTAACTGGTACTGATACCTTTAAAAGGAAATCGAATTCTTTCATGTCTGGTAGGTAATGGTTCATTATTTCTCTTACTAATACTTAACCATTTTCTTTATTCTGGTAGTATTTATTTTAAGCTTCAATGGATCTCCTGCCTGAATTACCTGATTTAGAAGTTATTAATGAGCTTTCTAGTTGTCAGCAATAACCGCAGTTTCATCATTGATATGCAGGTCCCGTATCTTAATTGCGACGCCGCGCCGTTTACTTTTTATACTGATTTATATCTTGCAAAGCCATATCGAGAACTTCTCGTTGTATTCGTATTTCGTTGGTGTTGTCTAGTTCTACCTTTACGGGTTTTCTATGTTTCCAATATAAGTTTTTAAAGAGTTTAAAAACCGAAAAAGCTCTGCGAAATGATCAAAAATTCTTTGGGTTTTCTTTAACCGAACCTGAATGTTAAATGAATGAATGAATGAATCCTAGTTTAGGCGGGAAGCCTGTTGAAGATGGGGCTGCTCCTTTTTTGCGGGAACTTGGAGTGGGTAAGAGCCATGTCAGTTGAAATTGGGAGTGGTGAACTGCTATCGTGGAGGAACATCAGTTAGAAATTGGCTTGATTAAAAGTGCGAGGGAGAAAGATACCTTGTGTTGCCAGCTATACTTTGGGAACGGCTCTTGGATCAGCATTTTTCATCAGCGTCGTAATAGTTTGTTTTCACCTAAGTTGAGAAGCTTGGCTGAGAGGAATGCAATATTTTTCTTGGGACATCTGTTGAGTGAGTATATGCCCTGATCTAGGAGATGACAGAAACTTTTTAGGACCTCTTTTGTTCTGTTGTTGGAGCTCTCCATCGTGTGCTGTACACATTTTTGCTAAGAGAACGGATTCTGTCCTTTATTGAGGGCATATCTGCGAGTCGATGGATAAGTTCCGACGGATAATCTGCACGTCTCCCTATGATTCTTCTAACGTTTTTTTTTTCAGCTACCATGATGATATTATTTTGCCGTTTGGTTAGAGCCTCATATAAGATCACTTTCTACTCAACAATGGGCCTTATGTATGTCTTATATGTAATCAGAAGGTTTTTGGGGTGTATTTTCGAATTTGCCAGACAATACTCCTAGGAGGTTAGCACTGTTTCTTACCTAATTTAGGGTGTTTTTAATGTCAATGTCCCAGTTCTGATTTCTATAAAATTGAATTCCCAAATAGGACACCGAGTTTCTGAATTGTAGTCTTCCTACGTAGAACATTGTCTGGTTGCTGTGCTCTTCATATCGAGGAATTAAAGGATATCTAAATAGGATAGACTGTGCTTTGGACGGATTAAGTTTAACTCTTTATTTATTACACCACTTTACAATTTTGTTTAATTGATCTTGAGCTTTACTGAATAGAGATCGTGTCGTGCAGTATCGTCGGCATACAATAGGATAGACTCGGATTTATGTGTAGGGAAGGAGAGGTCGTTTTAGACTGTGTATAAGATTGGAGCTAGAATTGAGTCCTGGCAGCCTCCTGGCTAGTGGAGTGTACGGTGTGAAGAATTGTGTGGAAAACGGTATGCTGTTAAAAATTAAACATAGTTTCTTAAAACGATCAATCTAATTTTTTGAATTTTAACACCTTGTATATCAAAAACTACTAACCTGAGGGCGATCGTAACAACAATATCAAAACATATTACCCTTTTTAAATACCCATCTTCTATTTAATTTTGGTAGAAAAATACAGGTTTTTATTAAAAAAATCAAATGGATGACATCATCACGGGTTCAACAAAGAACTAGTTTTTTTACCAAATCTAACTGAATAAAGTTTAAATTTTACTAAAATGTAGAAAAAGTATTTAAATAAGTATTAATTTAAAAGATCATTAAATGAGATTTGACTTAGGCTTTGTTACTTATAACAGGCATCTTTAGTTGTTAAACCTAATTGTAGTTTTAATAATTTCCAGTATAGTTTGTTGAAATAAATTATAGATATACTGTTTACAGTTAACGATTTTTTGTTCTGTTTCTATTCTCACATGTTACACCTATTTATAATCTTAAAGCACCATGTACATTTTGTTAAAAATATATTTTTTTTTTGTTAGCGATACACTTAATGTAAATACAGCATATTTATTGTATAATACTAATTTATGTTTTAATATATATTTCAAATAACTTTTTGTGCTTGTTTATTCCATCTGTCTTCCTTACATCTCAGAGTGCGTAGGGGAAAGGTGGGCAAAATGGGGTACTTAAGGTTTAAATAATTAAGGATTTAAAATAAATTTTTAACTTTGATGTTCTTGAAATAAGGCAAATATCATCGTTATGGTAGTAACTATTTATTATTATAACAAAGTAAAAAAAATAGGGGAAGGGTAAGCAAAGTGGCCATGCTAAGGAATATTTTTTTATCTTGAAGAAAATAAATAAAAATTACACCATATATTAACATACGATATCCTATACAGATTGAACGAAATAAATTCGGAACATCGGAAACATCATGTATTTCGGCTTATTTCTGCTGTAGGAGGTTAGCCAATAAAAGGTTGTCAAATAATTATATTATAAAAACCCAATACTTCTGCGGGCTGCTGGATTCTGAACTCATAAAAATTGAAAGCTACACATAAATCTACGATTTTATTATGATGTCAAACCACTTATAGTCCAGGAAATGAAGCATTTCACCTCGTAATTTTTTCGTCCTGCGTGGATTACCTTGAAATTTTAACAGAAGGTAGGTAATAGCCTAAGGATCAAAACCTATATCGAACCAAAGTGCGCCAAAGCCTTGGGGGTGGTTGCCACCCCATCCCGGGGGTGAAAATTTTTTTTTACGTTTTAACTACAGGTTTCGATTAAAAAAGTGATTATAAACAAAAAATGTTCTATTTTTTTTTGGAAAACTGATATTTTTCAAGTTATTCGCGATTGAAAGTAAGAACTTTTAGTTTTAGACGAAAAAATCGACGTTTTTAATCGATTTTTCGCGAATAACTCGAAAATGGTGCATTTTATCAAAAAATTGTAGAGAACAAATTTGTAGCTTTTAAAAAGACAAATACAATTCATTTTTTGCGTTGTAAAAAATGTTTTTGCGATATAATAGGAACCGAAATACGGCCTATAAATGTTCAGCGGTTTTCTTCAAATGCCAAATTTGAAAGATTCAAAGTCAAATATCGGGAAAATGATGCATTTTTGGAAGAAAACTCACGCAACCTTTTTTAAAGAGCATAAATAGATCTATCATAAAAAATAACTCTAGCTCAAAAATTGAGTAAGTTATGATGAAAATAAGGCCAATACCTCATTTTTTCACGAAAAAATCGATGAAAACAACCCCCTAACCACTGCTATAATTAAAATCGAGCTTCACCCTTCTGCAATTCTCTTTGTACATGTATTGTTAATACGTCCGAGAAATTTGACCCATTTAAAATGCTTAGTTTTAGAAAAAGTACAGCTTAAAGCGAGAAACGATTTACAATTTCATATTTTTTACCCTTCTTTTTTTAAATATCCCCGAAAATACTGAATATATGAAGGAAATAAAATGCACTAAATTGTAGCTTTTTTAATGACTAAAATTTTCCTTTATTTAGGTTTGTTGTACAATGAATATTTGGCGAGATATAACCGTTTAAAGCATCGATTTACGATCAAGCACCATCTTTTTCGAGCCCTTTAAACTCACCCCATTTAAAAACCAAGGGTTCCAAAGAGATTTAATTCACAGATCCTTGTAGCTCTTAAAAACCTCTACAAAATCGTTTTCGAGGAAACACTCTATCGTTAAAAATGAAGGAAATACGTTAAAAAACCAATTAATTTTTTTCGGAAAATTCGATTAGTATAGTACAGTACATTTTGGAGCATAATAATCTACAAAACCGGTATACTAGGTAGAGGGGCGTTATACATTCGAAATTTTAAGCGTTCTTATTTTGAAATCCCATACAACAGAATAAAACATTTGCTCATATGTTTATGGCTTGGCAATGAAAATATCAGAGCAACAGACTGGGGATGGTATTCCAAAGATGGTTTGTTATTACCCGTACGCATGAACAAACAACCTGCACCCGATGAACTTTTGAAAACTATTTTTTGCCAATGCAAAAAAGGATGCGGCGTTTCATGTGGGTGCAGAAAAGTTGGTTTATACTGTAACTTTACTTGTTCTGGGTGCTCAGGTGAAGGGTGCAATAATAGTCCACCAATAATTGAAGAAGATGAGGATGACATAGATTACGATGAAGATGTAATTGATGACGAATAAAATTAATATTATAATTGTTTTACCTATAAATGTAAATATTTTCAACTATTTATGTAAATGTATAAGAATATATGGTGCCTTTTTATGTTGATAAATTTTTTTGTATTTAATTCTACTTTTTTCAATTTATATCTATTAAATTAGTTTATAAACTACACTCTTTACAACAGCAATGTGGGTAATTTTCAAAAGTTGAGAAGTATTTTGTTTTCTCTTGGTAGAAGTTTACTCTTGGTATTCAACACCCAGTTCTTGACTTTCAGCTTCTTGAAGAGAGATAGAATTTTGCACGGAATTTTCTGTGGTCATGGCTGCAGCAAAATCCGCGTCAGTAAACTTCTGTCTGTTTATAGGAACTATGCCACATTTTCCAAACGCCTTTACAGCAAAAGTTGGAGCAACTGCAAATAGAAATGCCTCTCCAAGAAGTTTAGATACCTGATACGGTGTCACTAATCTACCAGGATTATTACTCAAGAATCCTTAGATCGCTTGGACATGGTATTGAAGGGCCCCATAAAAAAACATCGAGTGGCAGCAGCTTATGACTACAGAGGAGGGATGCAAACTACGGTTGTGTGATATTCTCTAGCCATTTTAAATAAATTTAGATTTTTTGTATGGGTGGATTGTCTATCAAGTATGAGCACAACTGGGTTGTCTTTGGATGGCTTCGCAAACTTTAAGAAATGGTCAAACCATTGTGTAAAAATCTAAGTTTGCATCCACCCTGAAGGATGTCAAACAAAAGCTGTTCCAGGTGGAGCGCCATCTTGAAACTCCACTTTCATCCGCTGCCTAGATAAGATGATAAAAGTAGGAATAAAAACTCCTCCAGCTGACATAGAAATTACAAATGTACTGAGAACACCTCTCTCTGCAGATATAAGAGATCCGACTTGCCGGCGATTTTTGAAGACTTTGACTGGACAGTCACAAGTCCAGTTTTATCAACATTGTAAACTCTATGGGAAGGATACAAGTGATGTTTTTAAACCCTTGCTGCTGAAGACGCCTCAGGTTTTCTTGACACAAGCTCAGGATGGCACTTTCTGAACCCTGTTCAAGGCTGCGCAAATCAGCTACATTAATTCCAAAAAAAACGTAACTCCATTTCCAAGAGATAATTTACCAACTGCTGGTTTTGTTCTTCGTTGAAAACAGCTCGAAAAAGGCTTAATACTTTTTTATTGTCAGTGGCGTCTTGATTTTTATTAGTACTAGACGTTTTAATGTGTTCCTAGGGCCACTGTAAGTTTTAGCAGCTGTTTGATATTCCATCTTTCTTCACGGTATCGATTGCTCTTTGCATCTCTGTAGGTTCCCATGACTAACGATGACTCTTCCTGTGATATTTTGACAACATCGCTACACCTGAAAAAAGAACGTTTTTAGTATTATATGTTAAATAGTATTAAAAATATGAAAGAAACACGGCGCTTTCACCTTAAATAAAGATACAATAATCGTATACAGTAATGTTAATTTATTGTATCATGTAAATACATAGTACAATAAGTGATCTTGGAATATAATTATACTAGTCTACGTTACTTGCTAAAATAGATTTGTTGTTTGAAATGCTTAAGAGTTTTGTACACAACATACAATTATTTTTCAATGAAAATATTTATTTTACTTTATGTTGGGCATAGTGGCCACGGACGTGACTACTTTGCCCTCTTCGCCGCCATTATATAAATGCTACACTACCGGCTAAACAAATCGAGCAAAGCGATACACAGACACATCATTTTGTAGCCTAAATACACCTCTTTAAGACGTTACTCATTTGCCTGTATTAAAAATAAAAGTTTTGTTGTAATAATTATTTAAATAAACTCACCTTATATTATCAGGATGTTGAAAAACACGAAAAATTTTAATAACTTTTAAACAAATGATCAGAACAACTTACACATTTAATACATCTAAGATGACGATCAAATGAAAGAGTTGACGGGCCTGTTGCTGTGTATCAACCATCGAGCAAGAAGACAAAAGAGGGAATCTAATCGTTATGAAAAGGAGACCCAAAAAGTGGTCTCTGATGGCGGACACATCCGGAAATGCAAAAGCGCTAAATTTAAATTTTTCGACACATTAACAATAGCTATAAAATATTTTTCAGACGAGAAAGTTTTAATTAAATATTAACGATAATAGTCTAAAATGTGACACAAATGGTAAAAACCTTAATTCAATATAAATAAAATTTCATGTGAAAGTTGGGACAAACAATAACATAACCAAACTAAATTTGATTTCTTAAACAAGGAAAGACTCTCTTTCCTTGTTTAATGTGGCCTTTCAAGATTGCACTTCCTGTCTAACAATATTTTTGTCCCCACTACCTTTACATTCCCTCTTTTGTCTTTTTGCTCGATGGTATCAACACCGTACTGTGCAGTAATAACCAGTGACTACTATGCCCACCCTTCCCCTAGCTCATTATGCCCGTCGTATAGAGTCTGTGATTTGATTTGATCATCGGCTATCTTTCTTTTTGCTGATATCGCCTCCATAGCCTTCGTTTTATGCTGTCCCAATTCCAGCTTCGTCATATAAGACGAAGAAGAAGGCAAATAAGTTAAAATGACGGTTTTGCCTCTTTTTAGACGCGTTTCTTTCATTGATTTACTTTAGGCACTGCTACGATAGCTTTGAGACTTATACTAACTTAAAATTAGAGTCACTTTCTTTTGAGGATCCTTTTTGAGGCTTACGCGTCTCTTTAATAGACGACCCAAGTTGATGCTCGGGCAGTTTTCCCTCCAATGGAGTGTACATAACAGGATTACAATAATTAAATGCTGAATAAGGACAAAATTTAATGACATTTCTACTCTTTCAGGATGTGTTCTAAACCATTTCCTTACTTCTTCGTCATAATATGCACTTAATGGCTTCATAAATGCAACATCTATAGACAATACGTGCAATGAGATAAAAAACATAGAATTTGTTATATAGATTAATATAAAATAAAAGAATGTGTTGATATTTTTATTTTAATAATAACTCAAAAACGTGATACATAAAAATACATAATTAAAAATGTGGTTCCATTACAATAACTCGATGACAACAACATATACCGTTGACATTGACACATGTCAGTCGCGCTGTCAACCATAGACAGGTTTGTCTCCCATTCATGACTATTTATTTAACAGAATTTCCACCCCATTTTCCTTCGCATAATTAATTACGTCCAATTTATTATGTGATGAATGATCATCATACAGAAACAAAACTACCTTTTTTACTAACCTAAAAAAAGAGATAAATGTTAAGTAAAGGAAAAAAGAAATGGTGAGGCTTAATGAAGGAGGTCAAAATCCTTAAAACAAACACAAAAATAATGATTTTTTTTATATTACAGTTTTTTCTTTTATATTTATATATTGTTAACTTAATACATTTATTCAATATTAAAGATTCTGACTTGCTCTAAATATAAAATTTAAAGACTGTTATACGAGGTATAAAAATAAATGAAGGGTGCCTTATAAATCTACGAGGAGAATGTGTAACGCATCTTTTACTAATGGAGAAAAGATGTAGACAAGGACACATGTTACATATAAAACTTGAGTATATTAAAAAGAAGACCTCAAGATATGTTTATACAAGTGATAATAGTGTTTTGTGTTAATAGTCATAGCATTCGTAAAATTATTAGAGTCGTCGGATCAAACAAATTATGTTAGCAATGTGGGGAATAACATATAAGAAAACCTCAGTTGAGATGGATTATGACCTGAAAATAGAGAAATTAAACTTAACAAAAATTATTTACATATTTGTAAATAATTTTTTACGGAGATACAAGTATTTACATACTTGTATCTCCGTATCTCTGTTTCACATTTGTGTCTTTCTTCAGCTAAATGTTGACATATCTATTTTTTCAAGCCACCAGATATCATTTATACGATGTAAAAGATTATAGTCGCTTTCACTCTTTTAAGAAAAAGCGTGAATAAAAGCTGTTTAAAAATATCATTTTTTGTGGATCCACTTACAAAAATTCTTTTTTTAAATAGTGAAAGACTTCACAGAAAGAAGAAAGTAGCATAAATCATTTGTCAACGTCAACTGTCAACTATAACATACGTCGCATCAAAACGTCAACAAGCTGACACGTCTGTATGTCTGTAATGTTTAGCCTGACTTTTGAGTAAAAATACCGAAAAACATAATTGTAATTGATTTATTTAGAGTTCATAATAACGTGTAAGTAATTACATTATCAAAATCTTTATAAATGGTATTACATTCTATATTTATTTATTATTTTAGACGAAAATGACTGCGGTGGAGCAACCTTGTTATACACTAATAAATTTGCCAACAGATTCGGAGCCCTACAATGAAATGCAACTAAAAATGGATTTAGGTAAGTTGAAAATTGATTTGTAAACTTTAAATTAATTCTGGAATATTAATAGATTTTTATCTATGCTTCGATTTCCTGCTTCCATTATCCATTTGAATGGAATAAAAACTGTTTCTGATGAGAGATATTTCTTATAAAAGGAATGTATGTATGTAAATTTAGTATCCCTTGTCAGTAGAAAGCTCTTTTTATACTAAATTTCTTTTTATATATCCTGTCAATTATTCCATTATGAAATTATTTAATTGTTTATTACTTTTTATTCTTTAATGTATGCAATTTATGTTATTCAGTTGAGTCCAAATTCGTCTCTCAGTCAAATGTTTCACCTTATCATACAGTTCTGTATAAAAGCCTCTTTTCTTCTAAATGTATATTTTGTAACTTAAAGAAGAACATGGATATTCTTGATAGTTGAAATTGTCTTTTTGGTTGAATTTGGCAGTTTAAATGTTTTAAATGAATTTCGATACATTTTATCTGGTTAATAAATTAATCTATCTTCATTTTATGCTGTTAATGATAAAATATGCAAACACAGTCTGGATTTAAAAGAATTTAAGAAGAATTTTAAAATGATACTACATTAATTCTTCTTGATGTACCATGTCCTTTCAGAATGTTGGTTACCATCATAGCTATCTTAATTTTATTCACTGCCACACTAAATAGCATACTTGTATCAATACCATACCAATCTCGCAAGTTGTTCAACCATGAGGTTCTTCTTCGTCCTGAACTGTGTTTGCTATTTTTCCTGGCATGATATTTTGTAGCAACCTATATTTGGGACCTCTCATTACATGTCCTAAATACTCTACATTATTTGAAAAGGCAAAATTCTCCAATTTTTGAGCTAACAAAACTATTATCAACTCCATTAAATATGTTTGCATGATCTTTGAAAATTTCCATATTGGTGTTATTTTTCCATAGGTGCTATAGGATTTGATCATAATATAGTGTCTTGGTGTCAAAGCTTTGTACATTAACTCTCAACAGTTTATTAGACCCAATGATGTAACATGAAAGACTTTCTTATTAGATCCAGAGTTCTACAAATATCCTACTGTGGCCACCTTCTGTTTGTAATTTTTAAACTATTGAAAATTTTATTCAATTTATTGTGTCTACTGTCCTGCCAAAAGCTAACTGCCGTTAGTGAACGTGATTCTATTTTAATTTAACCTATATTACCTTAATCAACCAAAAAATTATTTCCAAAATATGTAGAACCCTTTGAAGGCGACTCCTTAAAATCAATTTTTTCCAAATATCTTCAGAATGGTACCATCACAAAAGTTTAAACTTTGTGCAATGATTAAGCCTATGATGGCAAATCAGCCAATATAAACAATAATAAATCTTTATTGTTATTACAAACTTTCTATTTGAGGAATGGGAGAGAAACAGGTATTTTTATTTAAAATTTTTTTAGGCATGTATAACACAGTACTTTTATGCTAAATAAAAAATATGAAAACTACATAGGCATGTAGATTGACTTGCATTTACATAAAGTGATTATATATTTAGGAGGCTTGCTTCTCACAAAAGTCAGTTACTTTGGCCTTTGTTAAAAATTCTGACTTTTTTCATCCCCTGACTTTCTATGCAACTTCAAAATGTTGACAAAGTCCTGAGGTTCTGGTTGCTCAAAATAGTCTAGTAGAACATTGTCAGCTTTCTCTGTTTTCTGGTTAGTTACTCTTTTGATTGATACTTTTCTATTATTTTCTTCGTCTTGAATCTTATTTTCAGTTGGATCAGGTTGCGACGTATTGGGCTAATTTAAAACTAGTTTGAGAATATTGTTGTTGCTGAGAAGCTGATAACCTGATACATTTGTTCAAATCCATTAATGTTGCAAACTAATATATAAGTTCAGCTATTCAGATATTCCATTATGCTTTCATCTTCGTCTGGTGTCATTCATTTGTAAAACGCTCTTTTGAAAGTCTTCTTTTTCACTCCAATCAATGCATTTGTCACTTTAAAAATTGTATCCTTGATGGTGAATGATTGCCAAAACTTCATCAGATCTACTTTATCCAACAAGTTCATCATAAATCCATGGTATCTTCAAAATTCTTCTAAAAAGCTACATCTCAAAAGCTTCCAGTTCTTCGACACCATAAAGAAGAATAGAGTGAATATAACATTATACCATCCGATATTGGATTTGTAGATTGAGTCTTTGGTTACTCAAAAATTTGCTCATCTTCAAAAAGGCTACTCTTGATTGCTCTATTCTTGAGCGAATTATAATGATCATGCTTTTTCTGCAATTCTTCCACTTAGATGCATGTTTCCATCATCCACTTTTCTTTACCTTCTTTTATTTTGTTCCTTATTAATTTATGTTTTTTTCTGTACTTATTTGGCTTTTTGTTTGTATATTTTCTTCTTTGTTCCATGATTTCCAGTATTTCTTGAGTTATCCAAGGTTTCTGGCTTTCTGTTTACTTTTGTAGAGTTTTTGTGTTTTTATCACAGAATCTTTGATTTTGCTCTTCATAATGTTCACATTCTCAGTGTTTTTTTTTCTGATGTTAATTTCTTCATTTCTTGATTGATACAAGTTGAAGCCTTAGCACAGATTTCATTTATCTTGAGTAACTGAGGATTCACCTTAGAACTTTTGGATTTTATTATCTTTTTTACCCTCAGTTTCATATTTGAGACAAGGAGGTTATGGTCTGAGGGGACATCTACTCCAGGAAAAGTCTTAATGCTTACAATGGAATTTCTAAATCTTAGATTGGTTAGAATACAGTCGATCTGATTTCTAATGCGATTTTGTTCATTATCCTGTGGTGACATCCAGGTATACAGTCTACGGGGTGGTAATTGAAACCATGTGTTCATAATCGCCAGAATTATTATTATACTATTTCGATAAAACCTTAAAAAATGCGATTTGAATAGCAGTAAATCACAGCACGGATAATCCGCAGCTTGAATAATTCATGCACAGATAATCAGAAATCTATTGTATATTGAATGATATTAACAAATTCCAGTGAAATTTGGTTACATATTGTTTAGATTATGTAGTAAGAATATGTTTCAATATTCATGTTCAGTAGTGTGAACTAAAACAGCATTTGTTCATTAAAATAACTCTAATTTGATTGTCTGCCATTGCTTAGCAAGTGCGGATAGAGTGGGACTGTAAACTAAGTACTCAGCTGTGCTTAGCAGTAGATTTTAAATGGAAGAGCTCAATCGAGGCTTACCCTTGAAGCATGTTCAAACCCTAAGATCATCAATAATCTAATAACTTATCTTTCCATGTTGTGTTGTTTAGGTGGTAAGCACACATATAAGTTGTTTTTTGAATGTTTTTGTTTTGGAAAGTTATTGTTATAGTACGGTGTTAGCTTTTCTGGGGTAGCCAGCAATTTATTTTCAATTTTTTAGAAATATTTGTTAAGTTATAACAACAACTTATCATTCCAGTAAGTTGTTTGTACAGATATTATAAAGGAGGAGTCAAATACGCTAGACAAGGTAACATTGGACTAATTATTTTGAACAATGCATTTTAATAAGCATATCTATCTAAAATTCCAGGTTATATTGTACACTTTTCCAACAGCCTTTGGGGTTTACAGTGTGATAAGCAGTAGTTAAGTCAATGTAAATGATACCAGTTACTTGCATTTGTTCAAACCCAATTTTGCCAACTAGTCAGAAGTTTTTGGTTTCTTTGGTTGACACTTTATCCAACTTCAATAGAGACCATAGCTTTTGACATGAACAATTTGAAAACTTTTTAGACATGAGTTTATCATTAATTTAATTAATTGGTTTTTTCACAGTTTTTGATCTGTCCTGTCCTAATGGCATCTGGCTGGTTTACAAGGTTTTCATGGAAGAAATTGCTGTTATAAGATGTTAAAAAGTAAAATGGTTGATATTGATATTTCTTTGTTGTTTATATCACATTAACTCCAGCGTTTCTTGTTTTCACTAAAGGTATACAATCTAGTCAGCTGTTATTTCTGTTATATCCTGTTATGAATGGTTGTCCTCTGTAGATTCACATGATTGATAATTCTTCATTTTCTTCATTACCTGACTACTGAGGAATTATGCTGCCTCTGTAGTATGTTTTTAAATCCTTTTATTTTCGCCTAAATTAGTGATAAATTTATCACTAGATATTATGATATAGAGTAAATGATGAATGTTTGTTCCTTTGTTAACTGTTGGAACTTTTTTTATACAAGTTTGGATTGTTGGATTTATTTAGCTCAATTGATTTAAGTAGCTGTTCCATTCAAATCTCTTTGACAATTATTGTTTTTCTCCTTATTTGTTTATTTTATCTTATAAGTACTTATCAAATTTTGTTTTTATCTTAATATTCTATTCCATTATTTAGCTATATATTTTGTTCCAGAAAAGGGTGAGGTTAAAGTAAAGATTAGAGCATTAGAAAAGATAATTCACATGATTCTGGCAGGAGAAAGGCTACCAAATGGATTCCTAATGACAATCATAAGAAATGTCTTACCTCTACAAGATCATTTAGCAAAGAAACTATTATTGATTTTCTGGGAAATAGTTCCAAAAACAAATCCAGAAGGTAAACTACTGCAAGAGATGATTTTAGTATGTGATGCCTATAGGAAAGATCTGCAACACCCAAACGAATTTTTGAGAGGTTCAACACTTCGCTTCTTATGCAAACTGAAAGAACCAGAATTGTTAGAACCACTAATGCCCAGTATTAGAGCTTGTTTAGATCATAGGCACAGCTATGTGAGGAGGAATGCTGTACTTGCAATTTTTACTATCTACAAAAATTTTGAAGCCCTCATTCCAGATGCTCCTGAACTAATTTCCAACTATTTAGATGGCGAGCAAGACATGTCTTGTAAAAGAAATGCCTTTTTAATGCTTCTTCATGCAGATCAAGAAAGGGCATTGTCATATTTGGCGTCATGTTTAGGTAAGTTTCTGATATTTCTCGATAAATTTACCTTTTGTAGATAATACTTTAGAAAATATTTTTAGATCAAGTAAATTCATTTGGAGATATTCTACAACTGGTAATCGTTGAGTTGATATATAAGGTGTGTCATTCCAATCCTGCTGAAAGATCCAGATTTATTAGATGTATATATAACTTGTTGAACTCAAGCAGTCCTGCTGTCAGGTATGTACTTGCATCTTGCAATATTTTGGTTGCAAGAAATATTCTCTATTTATTAGAAAGCCAACATTTGTCATATATAATGTGATTGGCGGATTAGGTCAGCTTACAGTGAGTCAATCTTTGATATAGGAAGGAGCTACAGGGAGATGTAAGCAAATCTCGATCTAAAGTGAAGTCAAAATAAAAATTGAAAAAAAAAACTGAAAAAGTAATGTTTTGAATCAGCAAAGTAATCGCTTCCATATTTTTTCATACATTGTATGAAAATAACTACGGGTTATCTGTAGTGTTTATTAGTCAGAATTAGTTATTGGCTGATCTCCACAAACTGTAAATGTTTATGAAAATGTTGTTTGTTTGCCTTGCAGTACAATACGTAATTTTATTTTTATTATTTGTACCCTTTTTTAAAGGTACGAGGCTGCAGGAACTTTAGTTACCCTCTCCAGTGCCCCAACTGCTGTTAAAGCTGCAGCCAGCTGTTATATTGAGTTAATTATCAAAGAAAGTGACAACAATGTAAAACTTATCGTTTTAGACAGGTTGATTGCGCTTAAGGAGCTTCCCAATCACGAAAGAATTTTGCAGGATTTGGTTATGGATATATTGAGAGTACTCTCTGGTAATTGAATAATATTTTCCACCGGATTAAAAATTTTAATTTGATGTATGTTGTAGCTCCTGATTTAGAAGTCCGCAAGAAGACTTTAAGTCTGGCCCTTGAATTAGTTTCTTCACGGAACATAGAAGAAATGGTATTAGTATTGACAAAGGAAGTGAGTAAAACGGTAGACAGTGAACATGAGGATACAGGAAAATACAGGCAATTATTAGTAAGGACTTTACATTCGTGCTCCATTAAATTCCCAGATATTGCACGTAGTGTTATACCAGTCTTGATTGAATTTTTATCTGATAATAATGAATTGGCTGCCACAGATGTATTACTGTTCTTAAGGGAAGCAATACAGAAGTTCAAAGAATTACAACCGTTAATTATTGAGGTAAGTAAAGTATACATTGGCGTCTATATATTCTAGATATGTAGGTATAGAATTATTTAAATGTTAATACCTGCGAAAAATAAAATATAATTAATATTATAACTGTAAAATTAACTGCCACTAGATCAATACTTTAGCAGATGCGGTTGTCCTTCAGTCAACATTCTAGTGCCAGTGAAGTTGTTCCCAGGTCACCTCTTTGATAGAACTCGATTCTCTCTTTCGGCGGCTCTTGTTTTATTCGGTTGTTGGCCGACCATCTCTGTTGTGTACGGAGCGTAGCGAGTAGCGAGAGCTGGTGACGCACATGGTTACACCCCCTTCTCTTTGGAGAAAAATTAAACATACATTTTTTTGCGGCTTGGAGCCTACAACGGCGTGGTCCCATGCACCCTTCATGGTAATTTGATTTTGAGTCTTCTGTCGTTGTTGCAGGTTATCCGGAATTTTTTTGTTAACTTTTCCACCAGCTTCGTCGGGAAGATTCCCGCCGAGTCGGAATTGTTTCCTAGCTGTGGATCTCCCGGGGTCATCATTGCTGCAACTTTAGGTCTTTTAGGTGTTTCTGAAGCGTGACCCTTCCTTGGTGAGGATGTTGACGTACCGAACAGCTGGTAAAACCTTCGTTCTGCGTTCTGCCTCCTTCCCTGTCGTGCCAGGTAGCCCAGGTCTCTGGTGTTCCCAGTGGGCTCATTTCTTCGGGAATGCCTAGGATGTCTTCCATAGCTGATTGCTGACTGAATTGAGTTCTGCTTTCAGATTTCGCTACTTAAGTACTGCCTATCTTTGGTTCCCCCTCTCCTTCTTCCCCCTCTCTTGGTTTTAAATCTTTGACAATCGATGTTACCTATTTTCGGTTGCTACTATTCCACAATTTTAGTTTTACCATTACCTGTTATATAATTGATGCCACTGTGTATGTACTTGTGGCGCCATGTGGTGTATATTTTGGCGCCAGATTGCTGGTGAAAGCTTCTCTTGTCGAGGATAGATGGAGCTCCTGTATATTTTGGCATTTGGTTTAATTTGTTGCGTGTAACTTTTTTCCGAAATTAAGAAGCGCTGGTGAAAATTCTGTGGAATCATGCTCTGACGAATTTACGACGTAGCAAAATTCCGGTATTAACTTATGCCACTCTTTAAGATCCTCCACGTACGTATGCATTGTTATCATTACCTTGTTAGTTCGTTCTACTGTATTGCATTGTGGCGAGTAAAGTGGTGTTTACTTTGTATGTTGTTTAGGAGCGTTTTAAAATGGCTAGCCTCAATTTTGAGCTGGGGGAATTAAGTCCAAATTGCCGATATACATATGCAATTTAACGACCATTTACAAATTCTTGTATAACACGCACTTTCTCTTTAATAGGCAAAGCCTTCCTTTTAATACATCTTACCATATTAAAAAATAAAAAGTTATTTACTTAAGTACTAAATTAAAATCTAAAAACAAAACGAGCCGAACACAATTTCACGGTAGCGAAAATTTCTTAAACTGACTGTTCTGAAACAGAAAATTTGACTGTTAGGATAGCCCTGATAAATGAGAAATGATAGAACTGTCAAGGTCACATAACTGTACACAGAAGGGATAATTGGACTTTCCCACATTCTTGGAAGGAACAATGCTGTAAAGGCTGTAAAATTTTATGACGCTATAGATGAGGCTTACTTTATTTTTAGCCGATAAAACATTTAATAATGTTATCGAATAGTTTTTGGCCGGACCTATTAAAAATTGACGTTACAACCGAGATGACGTATTTACCGACGCCGTAATATCCAAGTTCCACTGTATATTGAATACAATGGGGGATACTATACATCCTTTCATCTTCCCCTTCTGCTGTTTTTAATTTTTTTTAGTTAAAGGACAGTCTTCTTCTCTTCTTCTTTCAGTGCCTATTCGTTCCGAATATTGGCAATCATTCTGGCTATAATTATTTTATTGACTGATGCTTTAAATAGATTCGTTGTTGTTGTGGAGAACCATTTCCTCAGGTTCTTCAACCATGATATTCTCCTTCTCCCAATTCCTCGCTTTCCGAATACTTTACCCTGTAGGATTACCTTCAGTAATCTGTATTTAGTGCTGTTTCTCATTATATGTCCGAGATATTCCAACTTTCTCCTTTTAATGGTATACATCACCTCTCTTTCTTTGCCCACTCTTCGTAATACGGTCTCGTTGGTTATCTTGTCTGTCCATGATATCCTTAGAATTCGCCTGTATAGCCACATCTCGAAGGCTTCAACTTTTTTCTCCATTAAAGGACAGTATTTCATAATATTGGTTCCACACCGCTGAGATACCTGCTGGGTTTGTTATATTTCCACTATATCTTTGATGATCTGTGTCTGCGGTTTGAACTTAACATACAATTACTTAAATACATTCGAATTTAAAATTTTTACTCTGACGGGATGCAACAAATCACTAGCATCCATGTATGCTACACTATTGATCACAGTCTTCAGTAAAAAATATATCTTTTGATTTACAGAAACTCATCGAAACTTTTAAAGACATTAAACTGGTCAAAGTCCATAGAGCAGCGATTTGGATTTTGGGAGAGTACGCCAGTACTGCTTCCGATATCGAAGTTATCGTTGGAGAAATTAACAGATTGTTGGGCGAAGGATCCCTCGTTGAAGCTGAGCAGAAATTAATAGCAGGAGAGACGGAAGAGAACGCTCCTGTACCTGCTGCAGGCGCCACCACTTTGGTTACTTCTGATGGAACATATGCTACCCAATCAGCGTTCAACACTGTGAGGTAAATATTTATACGAGTAAATAATATTAACACATTTATATTACCTTATTAGGTTTGCCCATACCTACACCAGTTTTTCTATCGCAAAATTTTTAGTAATTAGGTAAAGAAATAATAATAAGACTTACTCACAATCAATTTAATTTAACAATCAGACGACCGGTTTCGCTTTCTACAATTTGCAAAGCATCTTCAGGTCTAGATACAAAGTTAAACTAATGATGCCGGTACTCTATTAATTGATGGATGGTAGGTCATGGTTGCGAAAATCATGTATTGTTGATTGGAGAACTTTAATGTGCTATTGCAGTTGTTTTGACAATAAACGGGAAGTTCTTGAGGAGAACAGATTTGATCCAATGAATTAGAGATAGGTATATTGTGGTTGTTTGTCAGATGAAAGTGATGTTCTTTACTGTTGTAGTATTTAAATTATTTACACTTATATCAGAGATATATTTTTGGAATGTGTGTTATTTATTGAGTATTTATGTTATGAAGGAGACAGTTTTATGACAATGAATAAGAGTAGCTGTACCGATTGTGTGGTTGTGCAATTATTTTGACTTGTAATTATCAAGTCTATTGGCAAAATTAATCAATTATTGTAAAGTCAAGTATATAAAATGTATATAAAAAGTATATAAAATTATTACAAATTAAGACAATCAGGGACAAATTAAACACACATTAACAGGAACAGAAACACTAAATGACGGGACAAATATTGAATTTAAAACTTAAACTTGGGGAATGGAAGAAACTGCAAGCACTACGTCTCACTGTTGGAAGTAACGTCAATTACTCCATCGTCATTACTTCCAACAGTGAGATGTAGTGCTTGCAGTTTCTTCCATTCCCCAAGTTTAAGTTTTAAATTCAATGTTTGTACCGTCATTTAGTGTTTCTGTTCCTGTTAATGTGTGTTTAATTGGTCCCTGATTGTCTTAATTTGTAATAATTTTATATACTTTTTATATACTTTTTATATACTTGACTTTACAATAATTGATTAATTTTGCCAATAGACTTGATAATTACAAGTCAAAATAATTGCACAACCACACAATCGGTACAGCTACTCTTATTCATTGTCATAAAACTGTCTCCTTCATAACATAAATACTCAATAAATAACACACATTCCAAAAATATATCTCTGATATAAGTGTAAATAATTTAAATAATACAATAGTAAAGAACATCACTTTCATCTGACAAACAACCACAATATACCTATCTCTAATTCATTGGATCAAATCTGTTCTCCTCAAGAACTTCCCGTTTATTGTCAAAACAACTGCAATAGCACATTAAAGTTCTCCAATCAACAATACATGATTTTTGCAACCATGACCTACCATCCATCAATTAATAGAGTACTGGCATCATTAGTTTAACTTTGTATCTAGACCTGAAGATGCTTTGCAAATTGTAGAAAGCGAAAGCGGTCGTCTGATTGTTAAATTAAATTGATTGTGAGTAAGTCTTATTATTATTTCTTTACCTATTTGATATGGACTCACACAAGCAACACATTCATGATTTTTAGTAATTCTTTATTGTACAAGCCAGAAGCTAATACAAAGATTAATAACTCTTAATATTCATATGTTTTAGCCAAACTACGAAAGAAGCACGACCTCCGCTAAGACAGTACCTCATGGATGGTGATTTTTTCATCGGAGCCTCTTTGGCATCTACATTAACCAAACTGTCTTTGCGGTATGAGGATCTTAGCTCTCCTGCTGCTAGCAATGGTTTCAATGCCAAAATTATGCTCATTATGGCTGGAATTCTCCACTTAGGGAAATCAGGTAGTTATTTTTTAAAAATCGATACTAATTTATTCTATCAATTTTCATAAAGAAACCAATTTATCAAATTTATTGAGCTCTCTCATTTGTCCACCACAACAGAGTATGCTTTTTGTTCCTTGCGATCGTTTCGAGTGCTTCATAAGCTTAGGTGTTCAGTTGTACTGTATGGTTCAGGCTATTTGTTATTATTCTAATAAAAAGCTTGTATGTTTGGAACAAGGAACTTATCGGTGGGAAATTTTCCAGATCCTCTGGATCATCTTTTTTGTATCTTAACCCTTTCATTACTGATTTCATTGTAGCTAAATAAAACCGTTTAAAATGACTTTAATAATATTCTTTGATACCTAGAGACCTAACAAAGTGATTGATTTTTTTATATTGTTGTGTGTCCTTGTATCATTAGAAAGGACATAGGATATATAGCATTTTTCATATAAAAAAACTTGTACATCATTTAAGATTTACGTCGTCAGAACCACTGACAACTACTGCAACACATTAAAATACATAGGAAAACATTTTAATACAAAATTATATATTCTTAATTTTAAACTTACCTCTTTTAGGGCTTTAATAGTAAAAACGTCCCGTCATTATTTCTTGTTCAAAATAATCTATCTTATATGAAAGCTGATCAGCTTTCTACAGACTATTTATTTGTTTTGGCATATCACAATTACAATATACAACAATAATTAGTTTTTAAAGCTATTAATATAAATTTAATATGTATTTATAAATACAATTTATTAATATATATTGTATTAATGATCAAATTGTGTAAGAAATCAAAACATAACAAAATTCCTACTCTAAAAATTTGCCACGCGCTGAACTGTCAATAAGATTTGAAGTATTTCCGTATCAGTTGCGTACAATTGTCTAATATATTTAATTAACATTATTATTTTGTGGAATATTAGACTTAAAGAAGTATTTCATAAAATTCATATTATTAATATTAACAAATGTTTTTGGTTATTTAATCAATGTAATTCTAAAATTTCCAATATAATGATGATTACATTTTTCTGATTATTCCACCATGTTGACGCCTATGAAAGATCGAGCAGTTCCGTATGGGTTTCGTATTATTAGCTGTGTTAGGAAAATTTGAACTCTAAGGTTGATGTTCTGGAAATTTTAAATACAAGTGACGTCACTTTGTATAAATCGTGACGTGCAAGTGTTTTACTTTGAAAAATGGTATATATGTCCCATTAGTATTAAATTTTGGAATAAATAAATAATATTTTCATGATCATCTTTTAGTGTTATACTTTCTTTTTTCGCTCTCTTCTTTTCAATAATTTTGTCCACTATTCTGGTGTTATGGTCAATGATGTCTTGTGTGGCCATTTTTCTTGCAGTTTTTAGAGTAACCATGACTAATACATAGATATTTTCAATTATTCTTGATATTTGTTAATATCCGATTTTAATTTTACAGGACTTCCCACAAAATCAATAACCAACGACGATAAAGACCACATTCTCTTCTGTTTACGAGTTCTATCGGATCGTTCTCCAATTATTGTGGAAATTTTCAAAAAATTATGCCGTTCGGCACTAAACGAGATGCTGCTAGCTAAGGAATCAGTCGAAGCTATCTCGCAAAAGAGCAAAGAGAAAAACAAGCGCACTATACAAACTGACGATGCTATAAGCTTCCTACAATTAGAAACAGATAAAAGTGGAGAATTGGGAGAAAACGTATTTGAGATGTCGCTATCACAAGCTTTAGTAGGCGGTCGAACGGGAGGTGGCGAATCAGTATTAAGTTCCAATAAATTAGACAAAATTACACAACTGACTGGTTTTTCGGATCCAGTTTATTCAGAAGCATATGTTCACGTAAATCAGTACGATATCGTGCTTGATGTGTTAATCGTAAATCAAACCAACGATACTTTACAAAATTGCACACTAGAACTGGCTACATTGGGCGATTTGAAATTGGTAGAGAAGCCTCAACCTGTCGTATTGGCTCCTAAAGACTTCTGTAACATTAAAGCGAACGTGAAAGTGGCCTCAACTGAAAATGGAATTATATTTGGTAACATTGTGTATGACGTTATAGGAGCGGGTTCAGACAGGAACGTTGTAGTTTTGAATGATATACACATAGATATAATGGACTATATAGTGCCTGCTAGTTGTACAGATAGTGAATTTATGAGAATGTGGGCGGAATTTGAATGGGAAAATAAGGTAAGATTTTCTACGTGTTATTACATTTCACACTGTTTTTTTAATATCGTTTAGTAGAAGTAATGCATTTTAACCCTCAAAAACGACGTGGGGTCCTTTTTCCATACTTTACCATATTTTTCCACCTCCAGTTGAATAATGGCCATAATGGTCTTATCCCTGAAATCTCGTATAGCTGAGTTTTTAAGGTTTTTATACAACTTCTAACACCTTCCATCAAGTTTCAATAATTAACATCTATGAAAACTACATTTTGATTAATGGGGTCCTTGGAGGACCCACGTAATATTTTACGTTGCACATTTGGATACAGTACGTTAACTTTTAAATTAGATATACACTCTATAAATGGCAACACTGCGCTCCGTCGACTTTCCACGAACCTCCGTTGACCCGTCGCATATAATTTGTCATTCTTGGCGACGTGCAAGTACTTGGATGTGATACGAGAAACGACCGTGCGCGAGTAGCGGAGAAATCTTGCATTTTTTACTGCAAATTTCATAGATTTCATAAATTCATATTGTCAATTGTCATATTTCATATTCGTTTGTTTATTTACACCTTCTGTCACTGAAGAAAATGGGATTTAGGAAATGCTGTGTTATAAATTGTAAAAATACAACAAAAAATTGTCAATTTAAGTTTTATTTGTTTCCAACTTCGAAGCACAAATTACTACAAAGAGAAAAGTGGATTTATATCATAAAAAAGCATAAGTAACATAATCTAAATTATGCATTATTCTTGCGCCCGATTTTAAAGTCAGTTTAAAATAAATAATAAATAAAAGTTCACTTTTAAGTGTAAATTTTAGTTTCATAAAACTCACTTTAAATTTTATTTTTTTGAAGTTTACAAAAATGCATCAAGTTTAAGTGTTTCTGAAGATGCATTAAGATATATTCGCTGTCCAAAAGTTTACAGGGAAAGAATTCATTGTTCAAACCAATATGATGATATCATGGGCTTAACCTGCTAATTTATGCATTAGCATTATTTATGGTAATTTATTTTTCTTAATTCTTCCACATAATTCTTCCATTCTTTTTTGACATTTGCCACTACTAAAGCTTTTCCATTTGACTCAGTGCTTGGTTGAAAAGTTATTTGGTGATTTACTTTCTCAAATCCAGTTTTTATTATTGCATCCATATTAACAGCAATGCTGTAATTTAATATTATATTTATTTGTATTTACACTACATACAACGGTTACCTATTAATAACATACCGACATAACCTCAATCTTACTTTTTCTTCTTATTCTTTTTTGGGGCTACGTCCTTGACAGTTATCCGGTAACCTCGATCTAACATGAAAGCGCAGTAAATTTTGTTAATTTACGACACCAGGTGTTGCTGTTCCGAACTTGCATGGTTCCAATACAGTGGTCGTTTAAAGCAATAATAGCCTAGATTTCTAATTTATTTTTATAAATAACATGTCTATTTATACGCCCGCAGAAAAAATTCAAATAATAAAATGCTTTTATGGTGATAATTCTGGACAACAGTGTGTAGATTTATTTTCTTTGTTTACAGTCAATTCATAACAAACATTTTGAGAGTTTTTAATGCCTCAAAAATTGCAGAAAATGTCACGCTCAAAAAGTCTTACCAGAAGAAATTGAGGAAAGAATACCGGGATACACAAATTTGTGCAACAATCGAGGTAGATTCAACACGTTCAAGTAGAAGCGTTGCTAGAGAGTTAGATGTTAGCAATGTTACTGATGCGAAAGTATTGAAAAAGCACGGTTAAAAGAATTTTAAATATTCGAAAACGCCGCAGCTTTATTCAGACGACTACTTTCGAAGAATGATGTTTTGGGAAACTCTAATAACGAAGGCTAATGATGAACCAAATGTTATTAAAAACATGTTATTCATTAATGAATTTTCTGTTTCGTTAGTAGGGAGACACAATTCTTCCATTACGAGGTATTGGGCTTTTTATGGCAGATTGGGATGCTGTTCAGCCATAGAACGTCGACAATTTGAATCATTTCTGTAGGGCATAAAGAAATATTTCTTATTTTATTAAAAAATATTCTTTATTTTAATTAAGACTGTATTTTTTGTTTTATCTTTTTCAAAGAAATGCGCTTTTATTTTTAATTCAACCACAAAAACTTGTTCACATTATTAAAAACCGATACAAATGCGCCGCCTTATAAAGGTTAGTGTATTTTTGTAGTGTGTATACAGGTTGAATTTATGTTATAAGAAATGAACCAGGTGTACGTAATGAAAACAAAAATCCCGTGGTCTACCGTGGCCACAGCCGGAAATGATCTGATAGATGCCGAGGACTTTCCATCCTTGTTGCTTGGTTTGTGGTGGTTGGGTTTTTCAATGGTGGATTTTCTTTGAGTCATTTTTTAGGTTACTTTGTCACCTCTTCAGAACGTGGTGGATATTTTTGGGTGGCGGTACTAATTCTATCGTTGGTCACTAGTAGTATTCGGTAGTGTTTGTCGGTGTCCTGCGGAGGAGGTCGTCTTCAGAGGGTGGTCAGAGGAAAAAGGGCTTGGATGCTAAAAAGGTTCTTCTCAGAATTATTTTTTATTTAACTTTAAAATTTTTAAATAATTGATTAATATAAATTTTGGCCTTATTTCGCGCTAAGGGCAGCTTTGGCTGTAAGGTAAAAAAGAGTAGTAGACTCCAGGATGTCGATGTATTCATCAGGAAGTTTGTTGCTGGCAGAGGTCATCAATTTTGTGGGTAATGATGTACATTGCCAAAAGATGAGTAGTCACTTTTGAGTAAGTTTGAGTTTTGTCTCGTTTGAGTGGTGAAGCAGTTTTTTAAGTCAATCGGCCAGTGGTAAAATCGACAAGCGAGGCCGATGCGCATCGATACGCTGATTAGGCAGAGGCAGCGCATGTCTAAGATGTCATCATTTTTATTTCTTCTATTACTGACCGACGAGAAACTGAGCGAAGGTTCGGTAGAGACAGTGTGGCGTTGACGGGCAATTCGCCGATATTTATACCTTGGACACCAGCATTTTAGGTGTAGGGGGCAGAGTTCAGAGTCTTACCCAATAGAATCAAGGTTCAGGTGGGACGATGTAGTCAGGAAGCTCACTGGTCAGTACCTCCCTGACGATACCTTCTTTGTTGATATTTTTGTGGAAGTTATATGAATTGTTTCTTCTTCTTCATGTGCCATCTCCTCTACGAAGGTGGATAATCATTATGGCAATTGATACTACTGCCTACTTTCAATACAGCTGTTGTAAACAGATTAGCAGAAGTGCAATTAAAACACAGCTCTCAAATGTTCAACCGCAAGATGCATCTTCTTCGACTCCTTCTACCCTTTTTTCTTCTTTCTATTATTAATTGCAGAAATTTATAACGCTCGCTTTTCATGACATGTCCCAGATATCGAAATTTCCTAATTTTAATAGCATCCTGACACTTTCTTCTCTTTCCCCATTCTTCTCAACACCTCGACATTCGTTACTGACTCTATCCGCTCGTAATATTCTCTGTAGGCCCATAATTCGAAGGCTTCCATTCTATCTGCAACGAATTATCGTTAATCTCAAAAGTCTTCTTCTACTTCTTCTTTCTTTCTACCTTAACGAAATTATGTCTCAGCTACAGAATACTTTTTCAGTTTGTTAAAAGCATTTCTTGCCTTTCCTATTATTGCTTTGATTCTTTCTGTATACTCATTATTTTCATTTGTTTTCAGATATTTATATTTTGGAACTTTAAATTTGTTTACATTGTAATATTCCGATTTGTTCACATTGTTCTTCCTTCCGTCTCTTTTTAATATCGAGTTGTATTCCCCCTTATTTTAGACATAACAATATTTTTATTTTTTATATGTTTTAGGTAACGGTTAACACACCCCTCACAGAACTCTCAGAATACCTCGAACATCTACTTAAAAGCACAAATTTGAAATGTTTAACGTCAGAAAAAGCTCTGAGCGGGCAGTGCGGTTTTATGGCAGCCAATTTATATGCAAAATCCATTTTTGGAGAAGACGCTTTGGCCAACTTAAGTATAGAAAAACCATTTAATAAACCCGATGCACCAGTAAGCGGCCATATTAGAATAAGGGCCAAAAGCCAGGTAAATTTTTTTGTTTATCTATTTTATAGTGTATTTATTATACATTGCGCGTCTTGAAGTGGACAGTTAGAATTATTTGAATCGGTCATTTTAAAAACAACATGAGTCAGAAATTATAGTTTTAAACCATTTTAAATCACAAAAAACTGTTTAAAGTGCTGTAAAAAAACTACTTTAAAAATAATTGTAACAATAAAACACTGAAAACTTTGTTTTCAAACTTCCACAAATTTTATTTTAAATATTATCACTACAGCTGTTTCGGCTGATTGCCTTTCTCAAGTGATCTATTTTGGCTTGGGTTTACAAATTTATAGTCTCTAATGAAATAGGTTGAGGAGGGGAGAACTGTTTGTCTCAAGTTGGTCATTCAGAATTATATCTGTGTTTTTTAATTTGTTGATTTCCATAGATTCTAACAAAGATAGCTTAAGGCCTTTATTTTGAATGTGAAGAATTTTAAATTCGTCATTAAAAGAATGATTATGATCTAGAAGGTGAAGTGCGTATGTCGAATCTGTTTTTCTATTCTTGAAAGCCCTTTTATGTCCTGCTATTCGTTTATCAAAGTTTCTACCAGTTTGACCGATGTAAGTTTTTGGGCAGTCGCCACATTGAAGTTTGTACACATCACTATTTAAGTGTTTTTTATTTTGGCTCTTGTTATTTTTAATACATTTGCCTAGTTTAGTTCCACCACCAGAGAAAAAACCCAGTACCTTCTGCTCGATTACATATACAGGCAAAATAACAACAAAAATTGCCAAACACATAAAAAAGAAAGGAATAACACCAGCTTTCCGAACAAATAACAACCTAGGCAAATATATTAAAAATAACAAGAGCCAAAATAAAAAACACTTAAATAGTGTAAATGAATAAAGGAATGGGAGCGTTATGTGAAGTTATGGAAAACGCTGTCACCAAATGAAATACACAATAGATCCTCATGGGATGCTAACCCTGCGAGCGGCTGCAAGGAATACTGGTTACACTGGTCTGGAGGGCTGGCTCGTCTTCGTGGATTTACGAGAAGATAAGGGATTTCGGGATAGGGGTAAGGACTCCTAGGTCTCAGGTCCTGTAAAGAGCAGAGGTTATGGGCTTACTTTTGAAGCCGGAGATATGCATACGCAGAATCTCGTGTTCTCCTAGTCTCTAGTGAGTCGGACGAAAGGAACATTAAAAAAAAACCAAATTAGAGTCAACAATATATTGAATCTACCCTGAAGTTACTAATACAATCGTTAACCCGTTATTCTGCGCGTCGGGAGACGATGTAGCAAGATAGTGAAGAGTTGACAGTGGTACTAATATAATTACCCAGGTTAGTATAAGAAATCTGTTACCTTATGTGTATATTAGGGCTTCAACCACGACACGTTCAGTCTTCTGGAACTCGGTCAGTTGAGGGTTGCGAACTTTCGAGCTGCCACAATAACCGGACTACACGCGATACTATGTCAGATGATACGCGGCCCCCGGAGAATCACCGATTGTCTCGTACTGTTCGCGTACGGGACGCTGTCGCGTCCCAGTCACGGTGGCCCGCTATTACTGACTGCCCATTACCAACTGCTCGTACCCGACGCTACCGCGTCGAGAGTACCCGGGGCGGCAATTGATGCCTGGACGCCCGCCGTCTCACTACTACTGACTGACTACTAACTTGGCTGTCCCCGTTTTCTAGTTTTTATCGAATGGTGTCCTCATTGACCGGTTATAGTCCAAGGTTGTGTTTTCGTTGAATTGTGGGTCCTATATTGCATTACAATAACAGTTTTTTGTTTGACGTGCTTTTCTATGTTTAAACAATTAACAAACAATGCAATAACTAGGTCAATTTATTTGTGGGATTTAAAAATAAAAATTTTACTGTAATAATTATCCCTTATTTGATTTGGAATATATAATAATTATCTCGAATAATTATTATCTTTTCTATGCTACTTAACCATTTAATTCAACTTCTCACTCACTTGCTACGCTTACATTACAATAGTGGTGTGTACAAACTTCAATGTGGCGACTGCCCAAAAACTTACATCGGTCAAACTGGTAGAAACTTTGATAAACGAATCGCAGAACATACAAGGGCTTTCAAGAATAGAAAAACAGATTCGACATACGCACTTCACCTTCTAGATCATAATCATTATTTTAATGACGAATTTAAAATTCTTCACATTCAAAATAAAGGCCTTAAGCTATCTTTGTTAGAATCTATGGAAATCAACAAATTAAAAAACACAGATATAATTCTGAATGACCAACTTGAGACAAACAGTTCTCCCCTCCTCAACCTATTTCATTAGAGACTATAAATTTGTAAACCCAAGCCAAAATAGATCACTTGAGAAAGGCAATCAGCCGAAACCGCTGTAGTGATAATATTTAAAATAAAATTTGTGGAAGTTTGAAAACAAAGTTTTCAGTGTTTTATTGTTACATAAAATGAATTTCCATCAAGTAACGGTCGAATCCATCAATTATTTAAAAATAATTGTTTCAATCATATTTCATTATCCTGTACATTACATATTTCTTTTAAAAAATGTTTTTTCTTAAGACATATGGTTTAAAAAAAGTGACTTGTTGTTTCAGAACAGAAATAAAAAAAAATATTTTTTTTGGAAATTTTATTTGTCTGTCAAACAAAGTATAAGCATTACTCATCACTAATTGCGTCAGTCAAACAAATAAGGGTCTAACCACCTTCTGATGCCTCCGGGTGCTCTGTAGAGGGCTTCGAAATAAAGACAAGATCTTTCTTACAGGACAAAGGATTGTCGAAATAAAAATATCAGGTTGCAGTAGAATAAACATCTCAGCCACAGAGTATGAAAAGCTAAAAACAGGAAACAGAGCCCCGAGAGCACTAAGCTCTCGGAGACCCCGTAAGGGACTGACTTGGTTGACCTGAAAATCGCCAATATTTATATCCACTGTTCAGCGATAAATAGGGATTCCCAGGTCAAGAACCAATGGGAAAATTCGAGGCGGGGCGATGCGCATTGGAGTGCGTACTAGTCTTCCGACTATGCCACTCGATGACAGTTGGTTTGAAGAATAAAAAAAATGTAGTAGTTTGAAATCTGGAAAGTGATTTTTTTATTCTTTTCTTTTCTGCCCATTGAGTCGGTAGACAAACACGTTTTTTGTAATCCACCACTTTTTAAATTCAAAAATATTCGATGGTTCCATTATTTTAACAAGAAACATTTTGTGTCGGTGTAGAATTGACAATCATTTCTGTATATTTTTTTGAGTGGTAAAAGTCTTTTATTGCTGCAAAGTTTCTATCGTTCGACAAAAAGGAATGGACGGTAAAGGACGGAAAGGAAAGTACTGGTTTATTGTTTTAAAACTTCCAGTATCTATTAACGAAAGTAGAAATCTCACTACAATATGATTCCGGTTTTGACCGGTACAGCTGTCAGAAAATAAGTGAATATGTTTCACAGAAGTAGGCACTTTAGACTTGATATAATCCATAAGAAATTAAGCAACTTCATTGGCTCTACCCTCGTGGTAATTGTAAAACATCCCTGATTTTTGTGCATGTTGTGAATTCCAAAGACGTTGTAGGTTCGTTGACGTAAGTAAAAAGTCTCCTGTACAGGTACAAGTCTTGCATATCTCTGCAATTTCTGCCATTTTATTGTAGAACTTCTTTGCACGTCTTTTATGCACAGATAATTTCGCAACGGCCACGCTCTTCGCTGTTAATTTTTATTCCTAACTGTTCACATTCACAGCAAGTGTCTACCTTTGGACGTTCGAAAGATAGAGAAAAATATTTCTGGAAAATGTTTAGATAAAATTTATACGTTACTGAATTATTATTATTATCAGGAAATTTGGCACAAAATAGGTTATACATAATTCGCACATTCAATTTTTTGTCTAAGTAATGCTTCCCTTTCCATGTGTAATGTGAAATCTTAATGGGAAAACTCCCGATATGAGTCTTATCTATTCTATTAAATTTTCAGACTTAGCATTCCCTGAAATATTTTTTCACGTTTATCTAGTGGTGCTTTTCCTTGTACAAGAAGCTTAGGAATTCTTCATGACTCACAGTGGGAATTCCCATGAAAGCTTTTTTGCAAACAATAATTTTGTCACCCAAGCCTGTCCCGCAATAACTAATGTTATATCTTCTATTCTTTGGATTTTCATTTCGAAGTCGTTTCTTTTTTACTTCACACTTTCCCATAAACCCTTTGTTTACTTCCCTACATCCGCATTAACTTTTTCAAAGCAAATAGGTATAAGAAATAATAAATAAGACTTACTCACAATCAATTTAATTTAACTATCTAGACGACCGGTTTCGCTTTCTACAATATGCAAAGCATCTTCAGGTCTCGATACAAAGTTAATTAAATGCTGAAATAATAAAACCCATATTAGGGTGTTGTCTTATAAAGATAAACAAAGATAGATGATATAAATTACAGTTATTATGCCAATATTACATGTTTGTGGTTTTTCAAAATGAATAAAATGTTTAAGCAGATAAGGTAAGACCCACAAATTGGTATAAAATAGTCTATTAAATTGTAATAAGTTAGTAAATAAATAAATAAAACATTACTTACATGCCGGTACTCTATTAATTGATGGTTGGAAGAACATGATTCAAACTATCCTGTATTGTTGAATGGAGAACTTAAGTTTGCTATTGTAATTGTTTGACAATAAACAGAGTAGTTTTTGAGGAGATAGATTTTATCCAATTGTCAAACAATTACAATAGCAATATTAAGTTCTCCATTCAACAATACAGGATAGTTTGAACCATGTTCTTCCAACCATCAATTAATAGAGTACCGGCATGTAAGTAATGTTTTATTTATTTATTTACTAATTTATTACAATTTAATAGACAAACATTTTATTTTGAAAAACCACAGACATGTAATATTGGTATAATTATTGTAATTTATATCATCTACCTTTGTTTATCTTTATAAGACAACACCCTTATATGGGTTTTATTATTTCAGCATTTAATTAACTTTGTACCGACTGACCTGAAGATGCTTTGCATATTGTAGAAAGCGAAACCGGTCGTCTGGATAGTTAAATTAAAACTGATTGTGAGTAAGTCTTATTTATTATTTCTTTTACCTATTTGAAATGGACTCACATAAGTAACACTTTTTCAAAGCACTTCAAGAGACAACTACAAAAAATATATAATAATTTTACGTTTTAAAACTATCTTAACCTTATAGCCTCGCTTTCTTAATAATTCCTGACTTAGAATTAACTTTTTTACCGTTTTTTTTTTACTTTTTTCTAAATTCATAACATTATTCGTGCCATTTAGTGCAACCATCTTGATCGTTTTATTCACAAAGATAATTCCGCGCCGAAACAACATCAGTCTAAGACTCATATGGTTTTCGAATGGAATAAGTATTTATATTAAGCTGTAGTTTATTACAGCAAGTCGAAACTGATGTCGTTTCTGCTTAGAATGGTGTGTCGACGTATGAAAAACGGATTTATGAAAAAATGTCAATATTGCCAAAAATTTACTCATGTTGTTTCTGAAAAGACCGATTCATTTTAAGTAGCGTATAAGATATACGTTATATAGACACCAATGTTCTTTAAATTAGGATTTATAAAATAGCAAAAATATCTCAGATTCCATCTCATTTTCGGAACGGTTCTGCGTTTGGTACAATTAAACCTAAAGCTAAGATCATATGAAAGCTTTTTTTCCCAAAATTTAAAGTGTCACGGACAAAATCGTCAATTCAAGAAGAATAAAGACAATATTTACCCCCATTTGCGTTTTTTTTTGTATTCTAGTTCTACCCTTTTCCTATAAGCATTTCATGGTTTTTTAATCATCAGGAAGAACTTGTGATTGAAACTTATAACACAATCTACCAGTGTACGCTTGTAGAGATTAATAAAATAAATTTAAATTTTATGCATCTTCTTGTTGTTATCTAGTACAAGATTTGCTGTGTCTGTCTTTTTTGTATTAATGCGATGTATGCCACTATCCATTTTATACAATAAACAAAAAATATTTTCGGTCATTTGGACATTTGGGCATCTATTGCTTCAGGACCACTTGTTTTCCTTAGATGTGGTCTTTAGGCGTCGTCTTTTATTCTTCTCTTTCTTCTGATATAAAGTTGTTATAGTGGTGCATTCGTTATGCTCCTGTTATTACCTTTATTGATTTTTTTTATTTGTTTTTCTGTTGTTGTTGACATTATCAATTTTCCCGCTTCTGTATTTCTTCGGCACCCTTGTAGGTATTGCTTTCCGGACATTTTCTATCCCACAATTTATCTTTTTCCGCTGTAAATATTCTTCTGACATCGTTTTTCTTTTCGACATAATTTCCTTCGTCTTCTGATTTTGAGCTGAGCCATTTCAAGTAAAATATCTTTTTTTTTTCTTTGAATAACTGGTGTATATCGTCTGTCCCGCCTTCATTCTGCTGTGTTGTTTATAATTTTTACCCAGTGTTTCTGATGTTCTTCATGAAGACTTTTATTTAATTACTATTTAACTGGGAATAAGCCACAATTAAATATAAAAATACGTTTATTGACGTTTCAATTTCCACTTCGGAAATCTTTCTCAAAATACAAACAGTAAATTGTACAATTTACTGTTTGTATTTTGAGAACGATTTCGGAAGTGGAAATTGAAACGTCAATAAACGTATTTTTATCTTTAATTGTGGCTTATTCCCAGTTAAATAGTAATTTAAAATGCCACAAGAAAATAGCTTCAGAACGACTTTTATTTATATTAATATACATTTCCCGAATTGATTGATTTGAATCCTCTGTAAGTTTTTCATCCAGTATTTTTTGGTGAAGAAAGGTCTTTTCTGGTAAACTATTTGCGTTCAATATTTAGATATACATTTTGATTGTTTGCAAAGTCTAATTATTATAGTTTAAAATAACTAATAGCTGCATATACCAGTCTTTTAAAGTATTTAATGTATCGTATTTTTTATTTTCAGGGTATGGCCTTAAGTTTAGGAGACAAAGTCAATATGACACAGAAGAGCACACAACATAAAGTAGTAGCTGCATAAATAAAAAAGGTTTTTCTGTTTCAACTCTGTTCTTTATTTTAAATCGTATTTTGTAATTTAATTAATATCGTATTACTGGTTACACATTGTTAGATTATAAATATCTTTTAAAGAATAAAATTTATTTAGCTTTTAAAAAGTGCAGAAAGTAATCTTTACCTTCTCATAAGATCAACTTACAAGTTATTCTGACAAATATATGAGTTAAAAATGTTTAACATTTAATAGTAAAATACATGGCTTAAATTTTAGAAGAAAAAGTCAATGTTATATAGAATAGCCGATAATAGAAAATATTAAGTATATGAATAAATTTTTAATATTTTTGGCATTATTTATTTCAGTTGACAAAAATTGCTGAAATGTGTAATAAATTTTTTTCTCCCAATCTGTTAGTGTGGCCGCAAACAGAAAGAGCAAAACTGTTTTAGTCAAAAACGTTTTTGTTTGAAACGAAATCGTTTTTGTTTCCACAAGAAACATTTTGTTTCAAGAGAAACAAAATGTTTGCACAAACCATACTGCAATCAGTTTTATTAAAGATGTCGACAGATAACGACGAAATTGCACTAGTTTTCTGGCAGTAGTTCCGACTACAGGACGAAAAAACTCAAAATAAAAGACAATTTTGGGGCATCCTATAAATAAGAAAAGAACTGCTGAAAAACTCTTAAGTCTTTGCTCCAAGAATTAAGGGCAGATGAAAAGAAATCAGAATTTTACAAGAATGAGCTCAATTTCTTTTGATTATTTATTGGAATTAATATCTGATACAATTGTCAAGAAAAGTACAAATTGGAGGCCAAGCATAACACCAGAAGAGAGATTGTTGATAACATTAAGGTGAGTTTTTATTTGAAGTATATACTTTATTTACATGAGCTTACATATCTACATAATTATACGGGAGTGGAAAGCTATCCGTGGAAGCATTAGATCGATGTGGTGTTGTACTTCTACTACGTTCATCTTCCTCCTTATCCAAAAATTTATTTAAGGATAGCGTAATTTGTGTTCTGAAATCACGACGTCTTTTGTCTGAAAATTGAAATTAAACATGGCAAAATGGGGAAAAATAGACCAAAATGATGTGAACTGTGTCTGTGGAAGAAACACAGAATATGGAACATTTTCTTACATGCAGAAAACTGTCCTCATCGATGTACCCTCGAAGATTTGTGGCTCGCCAACAAAGATAGAACCGACGTAGCCCGATACCGGGCCGAAATTTTGTGAATGTCCGAACACGATAAAGTAAAGTAAGTAAAAGTTTATAAATAAATATAAGTTTTATGTATCAACTAATTGTCATATTATAGTTTTAATTTTTAATCTTTTAAATCCTTTGATAATTAATTAATGATCTGTTTAACCTACACAAGAAAGTTAAAGAACTGGCAGGACTAAAAAAACAAAATCCCACTCGTGCAATTCTGCACGAGGACATAAACAATTAACGAATGTCCTGAAATAAAAGAAGATTGATTACAACGACCTCAGGATAATATTAAATCTATACTATAAACAACGAGCAAATGTACGTGTTAACGAACAGGTGTCAGAAGAAATCGAAATTAGATCTGGAGTGAGACAGGGATGCGTATTGACGCCAATTCTTTTCGCCTACTCCGAAGAGGTCCTGAAAAAAGCTCTTGAGGGTGAAACAGCTGGATTAAAGGTAAATGCAGTTCCCATTAACAATATTATATATGCGGACGACTCTGTGATTTTAGCCGAAAACATTGAAGATCTTCAGAGACTGGTGACCAGAATAGCAGAGTATGGAAAAGAGTATGGTCTAACAATGAATGTCAAGAAGACGAAATTTATGAGAATATCGAAAACTCAAAGAAATAACGAGAATCTTCTAATAAGCGGAACCAACGTCGAACAAGTGGACAAATATACATATCTGGGAACAGTGATTAACTCCACAAATGATTACAATCAGAAAATCAAAATAAGAATAGAAAAGGCTAAAGTAAATTTCAACAAAATGAGGAGAGTGCTATGTACCATGGATTTAAAACTGGAACTAAGAATTGGCGAGGTGCTATGTTTTTCGATTTTGTTTTATGGAATGGAATCTTGGACCTTGGAATCATTCGAGTTGTGTTGTTCTGAAGCTATTTTCTTGTGGCATTTTAAATTAATTACTATTTAACTGGGAATAAGCCACAATTAAAGATAAAAATACATTTATTGACGTTTCAATTTCCACTTCGGAAATATTTCTCAAAATACAAACAGTAAATTTACTAATAAATGTATTTTTATCTTTAATTGTGGCATATTCCAAGTAAAATAGTAATTAATTCGAGTTGTGGGTATACAGAAGAATACTGAAAATATCGTGGACAGAACACGTCACAAACAAAGAGGTTCTGGGAAGGATGAATAAAGAAATGGAAATTTTAAAGTCAGACAAGTTTGATAATTTCATTTTGACATCTTATGACAGCACATCTTTTTCTGTCATTTGGTACATAATGATAGTTTTAAAATTTGTGTTTTTTTATATAGAAGGTTCAATGTAATGGTTTTTGATAGATTTAGATTTTTTGTAATAACTGTTTATATAAAATAAAAATAAACGTGTAATTTTTTCTCTCTAAACTATAAGTTTAGAAAAATATTTTGTTTTAAATATATTCACCCATAAAAATTTTTAGGAAAGAAAACTTAAACCTTTCTTATTAATGAGCAAGGATTACTGATAACATAACGATTTTTTTAAATCAGGACTTTGACCAGGACATCTCTGTAAGTATTTCCTGATTTCTTGTTCGTAGTTAATTCTTCCAATACCCCCAAAAAAGGAATCCTTATTTACGACCTTGCTCTCCAACCAAAACGCGAGTAGCCGTTCGTAAACGTTTCATTTTTTTGCTTACCCATATCCAAGCCCAGTAATTATTTATTCCCACGTTTTTAGCCCCCCAATAAGTAAGTTTAATTGTTACAAATAATAAAACATTTTTAATATTCAAATGGTTTATTTATAACTTAAACCTAACATACAAATAAAACACCATTAAAATTTTCTCTTGACAATATTACAGTACAACTTTATTTAATAATAAATATAATAAATAATTTAAATTTGTTGGAACAAAAATAAAACAAATTACATATTCTATTGATGATAATTGGTATAACTTGTTTTTATTTCTTATTGAGAATCTGATGTTACGTTTCATTAAATAGATAACAGATCTGAAACAAAAAAAAAACTGCATTATTTTTTGTGTATAAACTGAATTCCAATATGAAATATGATTATTATCAATTATTTTAATAAATTCATGTAAAATTTTAACACGTCTGGCCAACATAGAGGATTATTGGAAGACTTTTACTCCAAATATGGCGAATTTTAAAACCGAGAAAAGTGTACCTTAAGTGGTAGAACATCAAATGTCAAATCCCACACCTTGAAAAAGTCTAGCTGTGGATTATGAGGAAGATAAAAATCATAGACATAATAAAAATAGACTATATAGGTAAGGTATGGGCCGCACTGTGAATCGACACTTTGAGTGGTCTAGCTATTTTTGTCTTGTCATACGTGCGTGATCTGCCAAACTAATATAGGTGGGAGTAATGGAACGTTGGCGGTGGGAGGTGCATTTATTATCATAGGTGCTAAAGATACCACCAATGGAGTACTCCGCGTTTCACTATTTTGCTCACGATGCTTAGTCATTTTTTATTATGTCATAGAAAAATATGCGTTTGCCACAGACCAGAACCCAAACACGCACTCGTGGATGGTTACTGGTGTATATATCAATATACAAAAACACTATCAACTATGACTAATAGAATTAGAAAAGGAAGAAATGCATTGAATATAACAAAAACCTTTTATATTTGATTTGTAGACTGCGAAAAGGCGATCAACAAAAAAATCTTAGATTCCTTAGACAAATGTAAAATATACCATAAATACTTGGCAGGAATCAAATATACTAAGGATAATAAATTAAAGGATGCAACATTAAAAGTTAAAATGCCAAATAATGAATACACTAAAATTCATCATAGATAGAGGAGTAATACAGGGTGGAGTAATACACGTGATGCTTAATAACGTAAAATAGAGATCAGCTAGGATCAACATCGATGGAGAAATGTCAAATCACTTATGTTTTGCGAACAATATATTGATTTTGGATCACATCCAGGAAGCACAATATGTGTTAGAGTTTAAAAATCTTGTAAAGAAGTCGGTTTGAAAATAAATATTTAAAAAATCTATGAAAAATCAAGTGACTAATGCTCCCCTATAAATAAAGTGACAAGTAACTAGGTATAAGTATACTAGGCATGAAACAGGCATCGAATGAGAAATCAAACAGAGAAGAGATTCAAAGAAAAGTAGATCCGAGCAGAAAGCAAAACTTATCTAATGTCCTGTCTTTACAGGTATAAAGAATATGACAACTGAGTATTCAATTCCAGAATTTAAATCTGATTTGCACAAGTCATCCTGACTTAGACTACAATCAATTCTAAAGTGTTTTGTACTTATTAAAAGAAACTGGTAACGTCGGTTGAAGAATTGGCGCTCATCAATCGTCATTGTCACCTGTCAACCGTCAACGTATTTTGATTTATCTTTCATGGCTCAGTCAAACAGTTTAGAAAAAATTATTATAATTAGGAGTTGTTTATAAGTAGTTTTAACAATCGATTAGTACAGTGTAATTATTGTAATGGTGACATCACACTGCGCTATGTGTTATTTGTTATGCGGCTTTGCTGAATTCGCTCAAAATAATGTTATTAGTCAGCGAATAACTTCACACTTGTGCCATCGGGCTGAACATGTCAAATATTTGCATCATGCGTGTTTGACAGAACCAAAATGAACGTGGAGGTATTGATGATCGTTGCAACTTATTTTTACTTAAATGCAATTTACCAATACTGGTTGTGTCATGTCACCAATACTGTATCTGGTATAAATTCAGAAATCTCATTGCCTTTTCATTTGT